ATTTATTGGTAAAAAATAAATCCATCCACGGACCCTTTATGGTGCCATGAACTGGCATCTTGTTGGGGGATACAGTGGCCGCATCATCGTCGGTCACAACAAAGCAGTGGGTTCTGTGATCATTCACTTCCACCTCTGTTTTTGCCATTCACACTTCCAGTCTGCGTGAATGTCTCACTTCCCATCAGGGATGGGGGCTTGTGAGGCGCAACTCACAGTTGAATCCAACTTGAGTTGCACCGGTGACTTGACTAGGACTTGCCTTTTTTTTCCCCAAAAACTTGGATCAAAGCAAGAACTGACTCCACTTGAGACTTGGACCCATTTTTCTGAGTCACGTTGTCGAGTCTCTATTAGGGACAGGCCTCCCTACCTGCTCCTGCCACTGCTACCACTGCTGCCATCCTTGGAGGCAGCAGGCCCAGCTTCCCTTTCGGGGGCCGGCGGCTGTCTCCGCCCGCCCACCCCCCCGCCAATCAGCTGATGGTTTGGTGCATGTGCAGAGGCAGGAGCTGGCCTGGGGAAGGGAAGTTGGCAGCAGCTCTTCAAGGATCCATGAGGTGCCACAGATTGAACCTGGGATCTCTACACAGCCAATGCTGTGAAAAGGTGCAGTCCTATATATTTTCACAGGAAACCAAACACCTGATGTGTCTCACTCCTGGGAGAACTAAAGTGCGCATAACCATATTTTCTCTCTCTATCCTTTTATAGTTCTTGCTTTTGCTTTCTTGCTCCCTGTTTTCCTAGAACAGAATAGACGAACGAATATCCAAGCTCGAAAAATCACCAAATGCATCTGGACACCTACTGATTGTTGATTAGATGCTTCCTGCACTACTGAAAAGCATTGCCTTTTGGGACCTAAAGCCAGGGTGAACTTGTCTTAAGAAATGCAGTGCCCCTTGGCACATCTCCAACTACGACTCTGCGCAGAGCCAGCCCTACCACTAGGCAGAGTGAGGAAATTGCCTTAGCAGGAGATGCTGCTGAAGCAGAGCAGTGATCCACAGCTTTTTTTTTTTGCCCAGGAATGATATTAATGAGGAATTCTGTATTTTTTTAAAAATCCCAAAGGCCAGCACTCTTCTGTCACCAGTGATTAAAAAGATTCAAGTCCAGACAGCTTTTATAGGTAAAATGGGGCAGAGGCCTTTGGATTAGGTAGCAAAATGTATGATCTCAGCTGTGAGAGTGTGGAGATCCCTCTCCTTACACCTTTGAGATAACCATATACATTAGAATTTAGCAGTTCTATAAAGACAGCCAATGTTTTTCATATGTACAGCAAAACCCAGTAGATAGTGTTGCTCAACGAACCATGGGAAAATGGCCATTGTCTGAAATATGTGTAAAGGCATGTACCTTTCCTACTTTTAGCAAAGGTACCATAAAACAGTAAAACAAAACTCAGACTTCTTCCTCAAGGAATTTCAAAGGATTATTACTTAGAAAGTAATTTCAAAGGAACCTCCTGAGAAAGAAAGTTCAAAGAAATACCAATATAAATTGCTCCTTTTATGGTCCATTGTGTGTTTCCTATATAGCTGTTACTATCTTTGGTTCTGTGAAATGTCTTTGCATGCATTGAGGTTGTGTATATGGCTTTCTCTGCTGGACAGCATGAATAAACATTTTCCTAAACCATCAATACAACTCATTAGAAATTCTTAAGTGCCATATTCTCCACAATAGTGGCAAGAGGCAATGCACAGCTTTAGATCTTGATATGTTCCATTGACTTGCGAAATGAGGGCATGCGTGCCAAAGCATTTATGGAATAATTAACAACGAGAACTTCTGATTCCAGGAAAATGTGGCATTCCATTGCAGGATCCATTCCTTGTGGGGGAATTGCCTGGAAAAGACTCGGGAGGGACAGCAGGGCAAGTTGAGAGCGGCTGGGGGCAACTTGGCCATTCCAGGCTCTTGGCCGTGGCTTGTGAGCCTGCAATTTGAGAGCCACCACTTCTGTGCAGGAGTCTTGATTGATGAAAGTTGGGTCTTGACAGGTGGCTACTGCCATATCAGGTGGGCACAAACAAGTGTTGCTTCTCTACAAACCACAGAACCGTAAGTCTAAGAATGTTTGCTGCCTTTTCATTTTGAAATTAAGGATCAAACTCCGTGAGAGGTTCAATTTGCCTTTAGACTACAGTATAATAGTACAGTTTTATGATTTGGATAAAAGAATGGATAACACTAGAAAATCAAAGGCTTCTGAAATTTGAAGGTCATGATCTAAAAATGGGTTGGCATGCATATGTATGGTATGGTAAAGTTAAAGAAGAGACACACTCCTCAGAACATATTGTGAGAAAAGCTTTATATGGCAAAAATTTCAAGCGCAACCCTACAAGAAAATTCCAATATTGGTAGCTGCAGTAGAGGCGTGAGCAGGATGAAGAAATGGGCACTAAGGCAAAGCTTTTGACTGCAGGATGGGATGCAATTGAAGTATTGGAGAAGGTATTATCTTAGAATAATCTTAGAACTGCAGAGCTGGAAGGGGCCCTATGGATCACTGAGCCCCCCCCCGTCAACAGACTATAAGTTTGGATGTAACAAGTTACAAGTAATATGTGCATGTTAGGTGCCATCAAGTCATGCTCAACATAGGGTGACCTTTCTAGGGTTTGGTATGTTATTGTCTCCCCTCTTCCTCATCAATCCCAATTCCCTTTTCCTTTCTGTTATCCCTTATAAAAATTAAAAAGTACAAAAAAAAAAAGAATGCCCTTGGCTAAAACAGTGTCATCATAACAATGTCTCCTTTCTTCCTTCCCATTAGAGCAGTGGCCCCCAACCTTGGGCCTCCAGATGTTCGTGGACTACAACTCCCAGAAGCCTTCACCACCATCTCTGCTGGCCTGGACTTCTGGGAGCTGATGTCCAAGAACATCTGGAGTTTGCAGCAGGTGCTAATGCTGATCCTCACCCATAAAGTTTGTGCCAGATACTGGGGTGGTGGGATTATAAATAGCAATATATGTGCACCTGCTGTGGTGGTCAGCATCTCATGCTGTATGTAACTGATGGTGGGTGTTCATATTCAACATTAGCAATGCAATCTTATGGTTGATGACCACAGATGCAGACTTCCGGAGCTGTCAGTAGCACTGAAATGCTTTTTGAATTGTATACATTGGAGATATCAAAGGTAGAGAAGCTACCTATCTTGAGCAATTTATTTCCATATTATCTACACAGCCATTCTCAATGGATCTTTCCAGCCTTACCTGGAGATACCGTAGATTTAAATGGGGATACATAAACTAGGGGTGAGGAATGCATGGCCTTCCACATGTTGTTAGACTGCAAATTCCATTTAGCTTAGCTAAGCTAAGATGGCTAAGCTCATGTTTTCCATCCATAAGATTATAGGGAAATGGTATATCAATATCTGACATCTGAATTAACTAAGAAGAGCAGAATAGAATTCTTTTATAGAAGAAACTGAAAAATAAAAATAAAAGAATAAAATGTTCTGCCGATTCAAGGAACCTGGGGTATCAAAGTACATTTGAAATCAGCAGGGTCTTTGTGAATATTTTAAGTACTTAGTTCCAGTTTCAAGTACAGATACTTTAGCAGTCACACTGAAATTAATAGGATTTATTTCTAGGCTAACATGATTAGGATCAGGCTATTAGTCTTGCAGCTAGTGTGCCTAATTGTCTTTGCAGGGCTTCACAAGACGAGATACCGGTCCCATTGTTCCTGCTTGTACAATGGTTTCCCCCTCCAGTAGCACAATCTCCTTTATGTCTCTCTCTGCAATCAGACATGCAAAGGAAGCTGGTATTTACATCCCAATGATCATTCCAATGGCACTTCTACTTTTAACATGTTTTCACAGTTCTACCTTGTTTGCAACTTGAGGATGCTCTGCTTCTAGATGTGGGATCAGTATCTTGTCTGATCAGTCCCTTACGCTTTTCCTGCTCTGAGTTGTGCACTAGGACTCTAAATACACCAGGTAATATAAGTGCTGTAAACATGAAACCATAGATTTTATCACTGCTCACTGACTCATTGAAGTTGGAATTTCAGTCTGTTGTGTTTCTGTTGTTGGGTCATGCCAAAGCCCAATTTGAAGAAATCCAAATTTAAGTCTTCTTTTCTCTACCCTAATGACAATCACATAAAGGTAGATGGTCCTTATAAGCTGGTTGGTGTTTATAGCTGAGTTAAGAACAACTGTGATCCAGAGTTACCAACAGTCTACACACGTATTTCTGCTTACAAGAGATGGATCGCAACAGTCATAAGGGGCAAACTGTGAAGACAGATTCCTTGCTTCCTCATTTTGTTTGATTGCAATATTGAAAATGCCAGGATAAGATTTTGAGGTCTTTCTGTCTTTCCAAAAATTTATGAAAATGACTGGGGAAATTATTTAATTCTGTCTGAAAAATAAAGGACCACATATTGAAATGCTCAAGAGGGGTGGAGGGAAATCCTCATTTTTGCAAACAAATACGTATCTGCTTCTGGGAAGCTATTGGATGACTAGGGGCAGAAAATGCATCAAATTATGGGAGTGACTTGAATTCAAAGCTCAGGGTAGGAGGCATTTCTGCCCTCCCATCTTGAACCATCTTTATTGGTTAGTTAAACTATCTTGGTTAACAGGTATTTTTCTGGCAAGCCAATATAATGTAGCTGCTTGATATACAGTACTATGGATAGTTTCTTATCTTGGTGCTTGTAGGATGGACTTAGATAATTACAATGCACAATGAAATTAGATGAAAGTCAATTCATATTACTGTACTGCTGGAAGAAAGAAACACGGCTGGTAAACTCCCATCTGTCCAGATATATTTCCTACCAGCATCTCCTGTAGGGATTTATTTTGCAGTAACAGAAAATTAAAAATCATTTCATGAATGCTGCTGTGTTCTATTCTTGTCTCTGACTTATTCAATGGTAGATTCCGAAAACACATTTGATAGCAGCACTTAAAGACAGATGGAGTGGCATATTCCTCTGGTCCAGCCATTCTTGGCCTCAGTGGTCTCTGTTGAGATTGACTGTGGTTCATGAAGGAGTGGTTGAACAGGGATGTGCGCAGAGAAGACTGTTTTGTGAGGGGAACACTATAGGAAATCAGTGAGAAATGAAAAGGAACATTTCCCCTTCCTTCCCTTTCTTTCCTTGTACTTAATATGTGTTCAGAAGAGCTGCGCTCTCTGTTGGAGAATGTCTGTCACAACAAATAATTGTGCTTACCTGTTTATCTTACATTAGGCATTCTTTGTTTTGTAATTGGTCACTAGAAGGTAAACATGGGCTTAATTTGCAAGCCTAGCTGTGGAATATGTCTCATCTTTCAGATGGTGCCATTGTGAGTGGGAAAATATTTTAACTGCTAGAAATACACATTCACCTTAGCATCTAGGCTGCCTCTGCTGGATTCCAGCATGCTTAGTTGTGGAGAATTAAGTGAGATACTTCTCTCCCCACCATCCCCATTGTTTTCTGCAAGGAGGAAAAATTATACAACAAGCAGAATGCCAGTTTAGCTTCCTTGCACTTTTATTTGATTGAGTTCCAACTATTTCTGCAACACACCTTATTTATTTATTGTCCTCTTAGAAAACCCCAATGAGGAGAAAGAATGTTCTTTCTGTCTTCTCCTTTGCGTAGCAGCCAGAGCCCTTCCAATTACATCTTCATTTCCTGCAGATTTATAACAGAACTGGAGCAGCCTCTCCAGGCCCAGTCCGTCGATCCTCTTTCAAGCCCTTGAAAATAAGCTTTTCTTAGTGTGGGTCGTCCGGCACCAAGATGTCGGAAGGAACAGGTCAGAAAGACACCTGAGCTTTGCCAGGAAAGCTGAGATAACCTCTTACCCAGACAGCTTTAGAGTTGTTCTGCCTGCAGGACGCCAGGCCCAGAACCTGCCCCTTGGGGTTTTCTCTTCTGTCCAAAAGACACCACCTGCCCTTTGTAGTTGGGTCATCTCTTGAGCCTCATGGAGCGCTTAAGCCTCCTCTGTTGGTTTGGAAGGTTGAGCGCCCTCAGCAATTGTAGAGATGTGGCCTGCAACTTTTGTTTCTGTACAATTTCCCCATTGGTCATCAGGTCCCGCATTTCATGCATTAAGTGTTGCACTCTGTGGTCCTGCATTCGGAGGAAGAGCCTCTTCAAGTCATGAGGCGGGAGCTGCTGGAGTCTGGGACTTTCTTGCTCATGCTGCGGGTTGGGAGACCTCATGCCAATTCGCAGCAAAGGAATGAGCCCTAAGGTGCCTTCAGGTTTATGGTGGATGAAAGTAGAGACGACGACAATGCCCATGCTAGAGTTGGACTGGGGAGGATGTTTTGCAAGATCCAAAGAGGCTGTGGCTGAAGGAGCAGAAGTATGGGGGTGACAGATAGCAGTTGGACTCTGTTGGAGATGGTTCATACAGGTTGTGCTGTCGTATTCGTGTCTAACAGGTGCCGCAGAAATAGTGTTGTGAGTAGGAAGCTCAGAAGGTGACTCAGTGGTTGTGGCAGAACTAGTGGCGGGATAAGGCTCTTCGGAGTTTTTTTTTTTACCGGCTACCCTAGCGGCGTGTGTGGAAATGGAACCACTAGTGGCAGCAGCTCCTGTGGCGGCGTCCAGGTTTGTAGTAGTTGAGTCATCAAGGATAATGCTCACCTCAGACATAGTTTCAGCATTGGAGATGGAGGTGGAAAACTCAGCGACTGACTCTGGAGATGTTGTGAGTTGTAGAAAGGAACCAGTGGTCGTCTCAGTAGCGACTGTCACCGCCTCAGTGGCCGTGAGATTTTCCAGCAAAGTTTCTATGTCCGTTTTGGCAGCAGTGGGAGAAAGAAGCTCCAGAGAAGACTCCAGGAGAAGGTCAAGGACTGGCTCTGTAGTGGTTGTGGCGGGGGAAGTAGCAACAAGCAGCTCAGGAGCAGACGGCGTGGTGTGTTGTTCAGGATGAATCTCCGGATGAGTCTCGGGATGAATCTCGGGATGAGTCTCGGGATGAATCTCGGGATGAGTCTCGGGATGAGTCTCGGGATGAGGCTCAGGATGAATCTCCGGATGAGGCTCAGGAGTAGGCTCGGGATGAGTCTCTGGATGAATCTCCGGATGAGGCTCAGGAGTAGGCTCGGGATGAGTCTCAGGATGAATCTCCGGATGAGGCTCAGGAGTAGGCTCGGGATGAGTCCTCCGGATGAGGCTCGGGAGGAGGCTCGGGATGAGTCTCGGGATGAGTCTCGGGATGAGTCTCGGGATGAAGCTCAGGGATGCTAGCGGTTGTGTGAAAAAGAAGATCTAGGACTGATTCTGCAGAAGCAAGCAGAGCCGTAGAGGTAGGCTCAGGAGGAGGGCTGGTGGTCGTGAGGTCATGAGAGACCGCCCTGATAACCATTGCAGAGACAGACATAGCACCGACCACCTCTATAGGTGACTCACTTCTGGGGCTTTCGTCAGGAGGGGAAGGAGTTGTGGCGGTTGCTGAGCTGCTGTGAAGTAGCTTAGGCAAAGACTGTAGTATAAAGGATAGATTATGAAGAGGTTCCGCTTCCTGATTGATGGTGTGTGTATCAGTAGATGCTTCAATGGTCTCACCTGGGCACAAAATCCTCTAAATTAGAAATAAAATAAAATAAAAAGATGGAAAAATTGAAATAGAAATGTTTCACTAGACTGTAACAATGTGTCAAAGCTCTGATTGTTTAATGAATAAACCAGTGAACCACTCCTTATATCTCTCAGTTGGGCTCAAGACTTTGATAGACAAACAGAGCTAACCAGCAGAGCAAAATATAATACAGTGGTGCCTCGCATAGCGACGTTAATCGGTGCAGCAAAAATCGCTGCAAAGCAATTTTGTCACTATGCGATTTTAAAAAGCCCATAGGAATGCATTGAAACCCCTTCAATGCGTTGCTATGGGCTTAAAACTCACCTTAAAGTGAAAATCCTCCATACAGCGGCCATTTTCGCTGCCCAGTAAGCAAGGAATCCACGCGAAAACACAGCGGGCGGCCATTTTTTTTACCCAGCGGCCATTTTGGAACTGCCAATCAGCTGTTAGAAAATCATTGCTTTGCGATAATCAGTAAGCAAAACAGGGTACCGATCGTCGCAAAGCAATTTTTCTCCATTTAAAACATCGCAATGCGATTGCAAAAAGTTTGTCGGTATGCGATTTCGTTGTTAAATGGGGTGCCCGTTAAGCGAGGCACCACTGTACTTTCCTCTGTTTGGCAATTACTTCTTTTCTGTCGCATATTTCTACCCATCCATGATTTAGGCTGTATGCTGTGCAGCTGCTAAAAGCACAGGACTTTCACCAAGGAAATACGTCTCATTGTCTCCAGCCCAAAAGACAATGATATCTGAAGTACCATGCATTATCATCAGAATAATTAATTCTTTTCTGATTTTTAGAGCCAAGTTAGATGTAATGTTAATTACATCATTAACCATTGCAGATACTGTCAAATTGTATAAAGGTGATTGGTGGGAGAACTGGACTACAGTGTAAAAGTCTTCAACTTAGGGAATGGGAACCTCTTGCTTGGTGGCCCAATCCAAACCACCAGTGGCCAAAGCTAGTCTACCCACTATGGACAGACAAATCCATGACATCTCCAGTAGGAAGCCCCAGAGAGCCACTGCCAATCAATATGATTCTGAGCTAGATGGACTCTACGTTCTGGCTCAGTATGAAGCTGTTTACTTTGTTCCTGTTCAAAAAGACCATCCTTTAGCAGAAGACGGTAGAGTAGGATTTTAGAACCCCTTACTGATGGGCTATATTTGAGCTGGTATAGCTCAGTGAGTTGGAGCACCTGGGGCCAGGATATCATATCTCCTGGGAGAAGACTAGCCAGACCACCTGTAGCACCTGTTGCTGATGAAGTCACATGCCCTGTATCACCTCAGAGTGGCACCACAAGGGGGATCTGATACCTTGCTTCTGCGCACTGCATCCACAGAAAACTCTGTTGTTGTTGCTAGACATATAATGGAACTGTGTTAATTATGGAAGTGTAGTTATGTTTCCAGCTTCTCGTGTACAAAACTGTTTTGATTTGCAAAGACAAACTCACTTTACATGCATGTAAGGCTCAGTAAAATGAGTGGGACCTGCTTCCGACAGGACTGAGCTGTCCATTAATGCTTCTCGGTGGGACAAGCTGAGCCAGCAATATTGAAACAAATCTTCCACCCATAATGCTACAGTATCCCATGGTCAAAAGCAATACAGTAATGCTTGACTTGGGAAAGTCTGGGGCCCTTTTAGCCCTTCTTCAGATCTTGGTAAGCCACACCTGCCCGTTCATCAAAAGCAAAAATGACCATAAGGTCATTGCCAGAATTTTGTTTTTTAAATTTTGAAGGCCATTTTGAGCTTTCCTTCTCTGAAATGTTTCTCTATTTCTTTTCTACCTCTTTTGTTATTTGCTTCCTTGGGTGACCTGTTCTGCCCATTGGAATGTCAGCGCTAGTCCTTTTAGCTCACCTTCACAAAATACTTCCTCATGGCACAGCGATATAAAGTGAGAGTGCAAAAATCAGGAAATCTGGGCCTTTTCGCCGAGCTGGAACAGACTCGCCCTAGGAAAAGAGATGCTGGGAGTCAAACGAGAGGCTTTGATGCCTGCTGCTTATTCACATTTAAACTGACTGAGCTATTATCCACAGCATGCCACTGCTGTAGGCATCAACAGTGGGGCCGTGATGAGTTTTGCAGGGCAGATACAGTAGGACCCCTTTATCCGTGGGATGAATATCTGCTGATTCATTTATCCATAGTCTGAAAATATTAAAAACATTAAAAGAAAAATACACACACAGACACAAAAGGATGGCCACTATCAAAACTGGACACTAGAGAGAGCCAAATACCATGCTACTGTTCACAATTAGTTCCCTCCCCCCCCCGCATCATGGGGTGGGGGACTTGAAACTGATCCCCTATAGATATGAAGGTCCTATTGTGTACCACAACAGATTCACACCAGCGTCTTAAGTACTCAAAGCTACACTGACCCATATCTACATATGTGCCATATATAATATATAGGTATGTGCATGCATGTTGGCACACACTTAGCAGTACAATAGGGATAGCTGACACCAATCTATTGCTGGCAGAAGACCAACCTTCCCTGACGTGTTAAAATTATTGGGGGCAAGAAGGATGTGTGTCCTAGCACAGGATATCTGTACCCCCTCAACAAGACTTACTCGATAAAGAATAATTTCTAAAGCACTCTTTAAGCAATATACAGTATATATATATATATTAATGTGAGTTTTCATGGATAAATCCACTCAATAATTTCTAAAGCACTCTTTAAGCAAAAAACCAAACCAAACCCAGAAGCTTTCCCTGAAAGCCTAGCCTTAAGAAAAGCACAGCATAAACAATGGTTTTTAACACCCACAAAAATGCATCAGTGTGACTGTAAGCTTTATTTTTAAAGCAGCAGATAAACTAGTATTTTTCATCCCCGTGGATGGGAACAAGTAATGAATTTAACATGTACATTTTAATGCACTCTTTCCAAGCTCTGAACAATTCCAAGAAGGACTGCCAAGCTGCAGCCTGGAGATCTGCGCTGTATTCTTACGCAGATCCAGAGAAGAGGTTTAAGAGGTATAGATTTGCATAGCAAACAAAACAGGATGTTCATAATTTCCCCCAGTCTACCAATGTGTTCTGCAAGCAAACACACAAACATACAGTAGGTTGCTTCCCTTCAAGACTGAAAGTTAAATCTTTATTAATTTTGTACTTAAATTTGAAATGTGGGTCTGAAAATATTAAAAATACTGAAATAAAAATCCTAGAAGTATATATAAGTGAAAACAAAATAAAAATAAAAACTTAAAAAAACATGGCACCTTGTTTTTTAATGTGAGTTTTCATGGACAAATCCACTCCATCAGATATTTAGGCATCCTTCAGTCTCAAAAGACTATGGTACCGTGCTCTGTATGGAGGACTTGGAACAGCGTCTAGTGTGGCTGAGGCTGTATAAAGATACCAGAACTGGCCACTGCACCTCAAGCTCCATGTAGCATTTGCTAGAGAAATATATTTCCACAGGGAGCTGAACAGGGGACAGTTTGTATCTGTCTTCAGTGTGGAAGGGACTGTCACTCTCGAATTGGCCTCCTCAGCCACACTAGATGCTGTTCCAAGTCCTCCATTCAGAACACATTACCATAGTCTCTCAAGACTGAAAGATACCTAATCAGTGTTTCCACACGTAATTACTAGAACTGGCCACTACAGAGAGCCAGAGACCATGGTTTTTATAGCATTCACAACTAAAATAGTGTTCTCTATTAAAATAGTATTCACTACTAAAATGGTGTTCACTATAATCGGTGTTTTTCAGCATCTGCAGGAGGGCTTGGAACCTACATTATCCCCTGTGGATGGGGGCGGAGGCTATTGTAAAAATATATATTTAAAGAAGAAGGTTAACAAGAAGACCTGCTTGATAGTTTTAAGGAAATTAAATCATTTTCAGAAGAGGTGAAGACGTGACAGACGTTTGGTTGTGATCTAGTAGCTGGGACTTTCCATGTCTAGGTTTAATTAGCTCACTGTGTTTAATTAACACCATCCTGTCAATGTGGACACTGCAATTAACTTTACCTTCAGGAATGAGGCCATGGTTTTCATACCGGTCCACCCATTCCAAACGAGATATTAACAGGATGACATGACTTAAATATATATATATATGGGAAGGCCTGCTTGAACAGCCAAGTTTTTAACTGGCTTTTGAAAACACCCAGCGAGGGTGCCAGCTGAATTTTGGTAGGGAGAGTGTTCCACAGCCGAGGGGCCACCGCCGATAAGGCCCAGTTTCTTGTTTTTTCCTTCTGGGCCTTCCTCAGCGTCAGGCCCCTCAGCCGTCCCTGCTGGCTGTGTCGGGTGATTTGGGTAGATCTAGGTGGAAGCAGACAATCTGCCAGATATTGAGGTCCCAAACCATTTAGGGCTTTATATGTAATCATTATGTTTTGTCACCTATCTGATCATACAGACCAACATGGCTACCCTATTTCTAAATACTGTATAAAGATACCAGAACTGGCCACTGCACCTCAAGCTCCATGTAGCATTTGCTAGAGAAATATATTTCCACAGGGAGCTGAACAGGGGACAGTTTGTATCTGTCTTCAGTGTGGAAGGGACTGTCACTCTCGAATTGGCCTCCTCAGCCACACTAGATGCTGTTCCAAGTCCTCCATTCAGAACACATTACCATAGTCTCTCAAGACTGAAAGATACCTAATCAGTGTTTCCACACGTAATTACTAGAACTGGCCACTACAGAGAGCCAGAGACCATGGTTTTTATAGCATTCACAACTAAAATAGTGTTCTCTATTAAAATAGTATTCACTACTAAAATGGTGTTCACTATAATCGGTTTTTTTCAGCATCTGCAGGAGGGCTTGGAACCTACATTATCCCCTGTGGATGGGGGCGGAGGCTAGTGTTTCCACACGTAATTACTAGAACTGGCCACTACAGAGAGCCAGAGACCATGGTTTTTATAGCATTCACAACTAAAATAGTGTTCTCTATTAAAATAGTATTCACTACTAAAATGGTGTTCACTATAATCGGTTTTTTTCAGCATCTGCAGGAGGGCTTGGAACCTACATTATCCCCTGTGGATGGGGGCGGAGGCTATTGTAAAAATATATATTTAAAGAAGAAGGTTAACAAGAAGACCTGCTTGATAGTTTTAAGGAAATTAAATCATTTTCAGAAGAGGTGAAGACGTGACAGACGTTTGGTTGTGATCTAGTAGCTGGGACTTTCCATGTCTAGGTTTAATTAGCTCACTGTGTTTAATTAACACCATCCTGTCAATGTGGACACTGCAATTAACTTTACCTTCAGGAATGAGGCCATGGTTTTCATACCGGTCCACCATTTGGATCAAAGGTTGTTTGCAGCCATACACAGCTCTTAAGAAGCAAATGGCCCCGACCCGATGAGGACCATTGAATGTCTGAAAGAATTCCTCGTATTCGGCATCTGAGAGTGGTGTTCCCACTTGCTCATGGATGTCTGTGCCCACTGGGAGAAGCCACGTCAAGAGTGCTGTGCGAAACAAGCCAAAGCAGAAAGGGTGAGCCAGGATCACCAAGGGTGAAGCCGGGACCAAAAGCTCAAGGCAGTTTCTTAAAGTCACCCAGTTCAATAAAGGTCAGCTGGGGGGAGATTTTGTTTAAAACTTACCACAGCCTGAACCAAAACGGTGCTCCTAACCAGAGTGCTCTCACTGAGTCAATGAAATCGACATAATGTTCTTTCATGGTTTGCTGAACAGTGAGTTAGCAGCACGTACTGTCTGTAAATCCCACGGATTCAGTGAGTCTGCTCTTTAGTTGGGAGTAGCAGTTGAATTTTCACCCGTGGGACATTTGGACAGCCATTCCATGGCTGTTTACTTACTGCATGAGCACTAAAACAGAAGGGGGACCTTCTGTCATAGAAAGAGGGACAGAGATGGGAAGCAGGGCTGGATGGGGGACTGGACAGGACGTTGGCCCTGCGGAAAGACCTATGGGGCTCATCCTCTCCCTCAACTGTCGTTCAGCAACTGCCATTCCATCTGGCCGGGAAAGAGGGGAAGCTGGGCTACTGAAAGATTCAGCAACTGCCATTCCATCTGGCCGCAACAGAGGGAAAGAGGGGAAGCTGGGCTACTGAAAGGCCAAGATGGCTGAAAGACCGGCTCTGCTTGGATCATCCATTTTCCTCAACTATTTCCATTCAAAATGGTCTTTACAAAGATGCCCGAGGAATCAGTACTTGACTTTGCCTGTTCTCCTCTTTGCTGTTGCTTTCGTTGCTGCTGCTGCTGCTGCTGAGTATTACATATTTTTACTATTGGAGGACACGTTTGTGAGAATTTTCCACCCACAGTATCAAAGCCACTTGATATGGTTTGGGGGAATTACACCCCTTGGTTTTCTGTGTAAATCCTCCAAAAAGGCACTATTTGCTTGTCTGCTCTGGGCAGCAAAATGCTTGGAGTGGGTCCCTCAGGCTCCCACAGGAAAGGGTCAGCGTCCATGGTGTGATGGACCTACAGCTCAGAGAATTGACCGATGACATCATTTGTCCCTCCCCTTAAATTTTCTTGTTCAACATTTAAAGAACCATATTTTCACATCTCTGTTTCCCGCCCTGATGGTTTTGGTGTCATAGAAACAAATAATGAGAGAAGCTCATCTTTTTCTTTATACCAGTTTCAAAGCATCCCCAATAGCCACAGCCCTGGGATTTTTAAGAGGGGAAGTGGTTGATGGCTGGAGGAGACCCCTGCCCCATCGTTGTCCCTCCTCCATCTCCCCAGAGAGAACAGACGAATACGTACAGTATTCCCACTCACCAAGATTAAACAGGAGCCCCTGTGTGGCTTTGGGCCACTTCATCTTTGTGGTAGAGGATTTGTTGAAGAGAAAAACACATTAGTGAGCTCTGCCGATAAAGGAAGTGCCTGGATTCTCTGAATCCTCGCTTTATTCTATTAATCGACTGCAGCTTCTGTTCAAGGTTCTTGGGAATCAAGAGAAAAGGCAGGGACAGGCCAGAGAAAAGCTGCTACGATGGGCTAGGTCATAAGAGGTGCTTGTGACATCATTGGTTAGCAAGGTTCCTTTCTTACCTTTACTAGTGAAAGCACATGACTATCTCTATAGCTCTAACAGTTCACTGTTGCTACTTGTGCCAAGGACAACATTGCAAGGGAAGATGGTATTATACGAATCTGATTTTAATCTCAAAAAGGAAACAGATGTTGCTGTGTGTGTTTTGGCATCATATCAAATAAGTATAGTCACCGTAACCTCTTGTTATCATATAAAGTTTTAGTTGTCTAATTGGTACGTTTCAAATCTGGGGCAAATTTTAACATAGAGGCGGGAAACTATTTGTTTCTTTTACCTGTTTGATTCTGCTACACAACCAGACGAGCTGATAAAGAAGAAGCAGTCAACAGAGTAAAACAGCAAGTCCCCATCCATTAGTGTGATAATTTTTGCATGACTAGAAAACAGGGAGCATTATTGACAAAGGAAGCAAAAAAAAAATGAGGTACAGGTAATTTATGGTAATTTATAAGATTCTATTCAATTTTAGAAATAGTTATGCTGTTTTAATGGAAATAAAGTGCAATGCACTGTAACGGGAATGACAACTTGCATGTCTACTCTGCTTGTCAAATTATTCATGGGTAACTTCATGTTGAAGTTTTATTTGCAACTTTGCATGCTGCCTGTAGTTTGACTACGACAGACTTTTCTGGGCTGGGGAGATTGTCTACCCTGTTTTCCCTAACTTGAAAATAAGCCCTAGTATTATTTTTCAGGATGCTCATAATATAAGCCCCACCCCAAAATAAGCCTGTTAAGCGAAACCCCTCCCTCCACCATTGTGCAGAAACCAGATGACATGACTGCATTTGAATAAATGTAGATTGTTGTCCATGAAAAAAAAATCCCCTGAAAAATCAGCCCTAATGTATTTTTTGCAACAAAAATTAATATAAGACCCTATCTTATTTTGGGGGAAATACAGTATTTATGCAGCACTAACTAGTCATTGCTTCCAGCCTTTGAATTGAAGAAGAGCCTTGCTTCTCTGCTGAGTGCTCTTCTCCCTTGCTTTAGTCTGTTGGTGGCAGTTGTTTGTTGCTGTTTGTTTGTTCGTTCAGTTGGTTGCTAAGTGTATATGAAGTAAAAAAGCAGCGTGCACAAGTCTGCGATTTCAAGCAACTGGAAGTAAATAAATGTTTTTCGCCTACAAATGTGTCAGTGAGTTATTAAGATCTTAAGTGTCGGTGAATGAGAAAGGGGTGGACTTTGAGGAATTTGTAGCTATTTTCCTCTGTGAATCTATCTCAAATGCAAAACTCTGCAACACTTCAAATCCCCCTTTTTAGAATTATCTCTCTTTAAATCAGACAATCTGCGAATAGGTAAAAAAATAGGTACCACTACGGTGGAAAGATAACGGCGTTCCGTGTCCAGTCGCGCTGGTTACATGACCACGGAGACTGTCTTCGGACAAAGGCTGGCTCTACGGCTTGGAGACCGAGATGAGCACCGCGCCCTAGAGTCGGACACGACTGGACTAAATGTCAAGGGGAACCTTGACCTTGACCAAATGGATTTTTGAAGGCAGCATTGAAGGCAGCATTTTATTCTGTCATAACCTGGTGTTTTTAATATTGTTGTTCTTATGAGTTTTTAATATGATAGTTGTCTAATGCTTTTTAAATATTGTAATTTATAATGTAAATAGCCAAATAATAAATAACAAACAATAATTTATTGGCTTTTAATTTCGTTTCTTTTAAATACTAAGCCACCTTGGGGGTGTTTGGGAGGAAGGTGGCAAATAAATATTTTAAATCAATAAAATAAAGAAATAAGAAAAAATGGCAGTCTTGTTGGAGAACATTATATTCTGGCATCCTTGAATTCATTACAGAAAACATTTTTAAAAAATGTGCAGGATTTAAAGCAAGTGTGAGCAAATCGTGACTCTCTTCATGTTGAGGGACTGCCTCTCCCATCAGCCTTACTCGACGAGCCTATAGATACGACTTGGAGTTGCCATCCAACCAGACTGACACGTTTTGCCTGTCCGGCTTTAAAGCAATTATTAGTTGGCTTCATCTCAATACACTGAGAACAAGTAGAGAACAGCAGAACCACGATGAGTATTTAAAAATCACAAATAACCTTGCAATAGTTAAATTACACATTTTCCAACAATCACGACGAAAGTAGGATAACAAAAGCTTCATGGGCAAAGAGATGGGTGGCGAGAGGCGAGGATCTGCCACCCTGGCCCAAGCATCCTCACTGCACTTGGATGACCCCCCCGGATGCTTTCTGTGTGACCGGATAGTTTCACTACAGAGGTCTGCTGCTGTATTAGAGACGCAGCTGAAGAGGGCACTCCGGGGACTCCTGGCTGTCCGCCAGAAACGGGAGCACCAGGGCAGTGAGCGGGAAGGCACGGAAAGATGCGCCCAGGACAGCAGCCGGACAGGATGGGGAGCAAAGGAAAAAAGAGGTCCGGAGCCGTGGGCAGTGCAACGATCCCCAAAGGCTCTCCATTCGGATGGACGCAGTCAAGGGAGCCCAAGTGAAAAGGGAGCCAGGGATCGCGGCCAGCACAGCTAGAGGGGTGGATCACAAGCCGCAGAGGGCTCCGATCCTGAGGAACCGGGACCCTTATGCGAGCCTCAGAGATGCAACGTGCAAGACTGCAGCAAAAGCACCTTTGCAGATTTCCCCCTTTCCCTTCCGAAGGAGAATTTGGCGCGCGGAACCCTAGCCTCTTCCTTTCTGCCTCCCGATTGGCTCACGGGAGGCACGAAGCAAAACGCCCCCGCTTTCCCCAACCAATCGCATTGGGTCGCGCCTCCTAAACGGAATATAATCTAAAAAACACCCACGGGAGGGAAGCGGGGGCGGGGGGAGTCGCTTTTTTCGTGCTGCTCGCGGGAAAAGAATGCCTATGACGTCAGCGCGGAGGGAGGCGGGCCGAAGCTGCCGGGTCTCACTTTGGCGCCTGGTTCGAAGGGACGCCATTCGGTAACTTGGGGTCTGTGAGGTGGTGGTGGGGGAGAGATGGTGGCTCGGGAGGGACAAGAAGGTGCGGGGTTGGTGGCGTTCGCGGGGCTCCTAAACGAGGAAGGGAGCGCTGGGATGGGATGAAACAGGGATCTGAGGACCCAGTTTTGTCGTCTTTGCTCCGCCTCTCCTAGCAAGAAGTGGGGCTTAGCTGGAAGTTATTCACCGTGGGGATCTGAAGTGTGTGTGTGTGTGTGTGTGTGTGTGTGTGTGTGTGTGTGTCAGAACTGTTCCCAAGTAATATGGTTTTCTCCTCTTTTATGCACAATTATTTGAGAACAGGCTCCATGAAACACGGGGGGGGGGAGAGTTTATTTTTCAGGAAACAGTTTTATACTAAACCGGTCCCTAGGTCTCTTTCAGCCTCGCCTGTGCTGCTTAGTTAAAAGAATTCAAAATGATAGGCAGGAGCCTTTTCTCTCCAGAAGTAGAAATGCAGGAGATTGCAACGGTTGGCCCTTCCATGCAAAGCTGATGTTTGTCTCCTGAGCCACAGCCCTGCCTAGGATAGTTGTGCAGGTCCATCCTGCAAAGCTCTCAGGCCCTCATTTCAGCATATAAGACTTGTCCACGAATGCTTACGTTAAGAAAATATAACAGTCTTTAAGGTGGCACCACATTTTTGTCTTTTTTACTTTGTTATTTTAAAATATTATTTATGTTTTACTTTTGTTTTTATCTATAAAGATTCTGTCAGTGGATGTGAGGCACTCCTGGCTAAATTTATAAACCTGAGGAGAGAAACTTTGCTTCCGTTTGCTCTTCCACCTAGGTGGTCATAACAAGGACCAATTTTGTCTAATTTTGGTCAAATAGTAGATCCCACTGAATCTGAATAGGCTTGCTGTGTGGCTGATGGAAGATTACAGGCAAGTTGCTCTCAAATTAAATTAAAAATACTGTATAAACAAGAAAGGGAAAGGGAATCGATTATACAGCTTTGTAGATGTTCCGTTTTTTCAGCCTCATCTTTTGTTTTTAATGACAGAGGCAGGATACAGGCAGCCATACAAAATCACTGAGGCAGGCCCATGAGCTCTTTTGGAATAAAAACTTAGGTTACATTTAATGCTTGAGGCAGTTTGCTTTCAGTTTCATCATTTCTGTAAAAATACGAACCGAAAATCCCCCCCCCCCGTGCTGATTTTCTACATGCAGGGAAGTGGTGGTGGGGAAGATGTGCATATAGTGACTATTCGGGAATACTAGTAGGGTGAAACAGTATTTACCAGTTTTCTGACACAGTATCCTTGCAATAGGTCTAGTTTAAATCAGCAGTCTGTGATGTGAATCACTGCCTAAATAAACAGATTTAGCTCCTCTGTTGGCATGTTTAAACAAAGTCCTTTAGAACAGTTTTGATACTGCTCAGAGATGAATGAAGCCTCAGTGGTGTTTGGTGTCATTGCTGGGTGTTTTAGATACAGTGGTGCCCCGCTAGACGCTTACCCTGGTAAACGACAAAATCGCTTGATGATGACTTTTTTACGATTGCTATTGTGATCACAAAACAATGTTCCTATGGGGGAAGTCTGCCTTACGTTGATTAGGTCCTTGCTTCGTGAACCGTTTGTTTGCAAAATGATGTTTTTTCCGGCTTCGCAAAATGGCTTCCCTTCGCAAAATTGCTCCCCTCCATTTGCAAAATGGCTGTTTTCCAGACAGAAGCTTTGGAAGACAGCGATTTTAAATAGCTGATCGGCGGTTCTCTATGGCCGATCTTCGCTGGACAAGGAGGTATTTCCCCACTGGAATGCATTAACCAGTTTTCAGTGCATTCCAATTGGGTTTTTTTTTGCATGACGACGATTTTGCTGTGCAGCGATTTTAACAGAACGGATTATTGTCATCATGCGGGTACCACTGTAATTTCAGATTACTGGAAAGGGTCACATAGGCAATTGCTTATATGCTCCCTTACATTCATGTAATATTTTCTTTCAGAGACATGATGCTGATTACATCCTTCTAGCATATCTCTATAGAAGGTTTCTTACCTGGTCAATGGAGAAATTATTCATAATAATGTTTTGCACCATTCTTCATTGCAGAAGATGGCTGGGGAGAGCCAAGAGAAGACTAAAATGAAGTTTCCATTTCCTTATACACCATATGCCATTCAAGAAGAATTCATGGCTAAACTTTATGAAGTTCTGGAAACTGGAAAGATTGGCATATTTGAGAGCCCAACTGGCACAGTAAGTTACAGTAGCCAAAATCTTAATGAGTTTTTATGCTGGTGCAGTGTAATTATCATAAATCTTGTGAGCAAATTGCTGAAAATGAACTTACAATAATGAGATTTATGCCAGCTGCATTATTCCAGGGGGTGTAACTAATAAAATTTTGTCTGTTACATTTTATTTAAAACATATGCCCTGCTTTTCTGCCTTTCAAGGTGGCCAGATAATCCAGGGTGGGCATTATTCCAAGAACTACCAATGTTTGTGAACAAAGGAAAATATGCACTGCTGTGCAGAGAAGGGTTTATGGATGTAATGGAAATCGGAGGATAGGAGAAGGACATTAAGGGAGGGGGAAAATAGTGGTTGGTTTGCCACTTGGCAAACCAATATTTCCCATCTGCTTTGTGGCAATTGCTGTTCTGCAACCGCCAGTGAGGAGATGGCTTGTCAGAAATTGCTGAATTGTAAACAATTTCAAGGCTTTTGTATTTATTTTAGCAACCTATCTAACTTCCTTGAATAAGCACCTGTGTCTGTCTCTGTGTGTTTTAAACACTCTCCTCCTCCTCCTCCTCAGGGGAAATCTTTGAGTCTTATTTGTGGAGCCCTTTCGTGGCTCCGAGATTTTGAAGAGAAGAAGAAGCAAGAAGAAGCCCGGCTGCTGGCAGCTGAAATTAATGAAAAGGATACAAAGGGGCAGCTTAAGCAGGACAGCACAGCATCTGTAGCCAGCCAGCCGTCCACAGGAGATCCAGATTGGATAACTCAGTTTGTGCAGAAGAAAGAAGAACGAGAAATGACACAGAGGCTGAAGGTAGAAATTATGGCTTGTTGAGCAGAGTGAGATTGATCGAGTTGGCAAATTCTGAGTTGTAAATAATAAAAAAAGAGTTTGTTACTCACACTATCACCCCCATATAGCGTTCTCTTTCCACTAGGTCCATTTACCCTACTGTCCATGATTCGACCTGCTGTCCTTGGAAACCTGGGATGGGTCACATGCCCCTCTTCCCAGCAGACTCTTTGGAACTTTTATAGAAGCAGGGGCTGGGATTGTTTCATAGCAGCACCATGAGCTATATATACAAACATCAAACTAGGGGTTGGCAACTTGTGGCTTTTCAGATGCAGTACAGTAGTAATAGCTCACATAGCCAATGGTGAGGGACAATGGCCACTGCATTCTAACAGTATTGCTGTACTTCTGCCCTAAACTTTGTGCTGCTATTTTGTTCTTGTCTGTTGGGTATGTTGGTAAACATAATGTCAACAAGATGTTAAGGTAAAGGTACATCTAGTGGAATTTTTCAAACCAGGTTCTTCATAGTTTGCATGGCTGTTTTATGAACTGTTGCAAGTAATGGGGATTAGAAATGTGTATAATTTATGAAAAAACTAAAATGGGCACAGAAACGGCATCTTGCTGCTTGCATGCTGGGTCTGAGAGCTTGCATGTTTTGAGTTTTACCTAATACTGGTCAATTTTTAGGAAGAACAGATCCGGAGGAAGAAGCGAGAAGAACAACTGGAACAAATTCGCCGTAATGTGCAGCTGAAACACGCATCTAAAAGAAAGGTTCGCTCTCCTGGATACCAGAGGCCTGTTCTTTAGTCGCTAAGAGTCAGGGCAAGCAGTGGGCGCATGCAACGTGGTTGCCATTAGATGTACCAAAGCGATTGCTACAAGTGGTGCATGCTAGGGCACCCTGTGAGTGGAGATGGCGGTGTCTATGTGCTTCTATATGCACATGCTCAAAGAATTGGGCATGTTTAGCCTTGAGAAAAGAAGACTGAGGGGTGATGTGATAGCACTTTTCAAATATTTGAAAGGCTGTCATACAGAGGAGGGGCAGGATCTGTTCTCGATCATGCCAGAGCGCAGGACACACACCAATGGGCTCAAGTTAAAGGAAGCCAGATTTCGGTTGTATATCAGGGGAAAACTTCCTAACTATTAGAGCAGTATGACAGTGGAGCCAGTTACCTCGGCAGTTGGCAAGTGCTTGAACACTGGAGGCATTCAAGAAGAACCTAGATAATCACCTGGCAGATATGCTTTGATTGTATTCCTGCACTGAGCAGGGGGTTGGACTTGATGGCCTTGTAGGCACCTTTCCAACTTCTCTTTTCTATGATTCTATGCTGTCTGAGAAGGAAGAGGCAGGCAGTGTCAGGGTAACTGGTTCCTCTTAAAATTGGCTTCTTTTGCTTCCTTTTATTTTGAGTTGGGCGATCCACTTGGGAGTCAAGGAAAATGAGAGGTGGGACAATGTCCAGAGACATTTGCTGGCACCATAATTTCAGGTGATTTCTTTACACATAAACATCCCGTTCTACCTGGGCTCCAAGAGGACTCCAAGGAGCTGTGAAAATGTACCATTATCAAATTATCCGACAAGAGCTGACTGCCATGTGACTACAGTACTTCCTTCTTCCATCTCTAATAGTATATGTGTGGAGAAGCAAGAGAAGTATGGTCACCTGTGAGGTGGGTGATTTCCTTTCCAAGGCTGAGTCTGTATGGTGGAGGTAGTGGCAGGAGGCAACGTCTTTCCCACTTCATGTGTGGAAGAGTCTGGGCGGTTGTTGATAACCAGAACTGGACTCTCCCCTTTGCAAGCACACACTTGCTGTCCTTTTGCAAGCAGGCAAAGACCTTTCTCTTCAGGCCTGAGTGACTGAAAATCAGTTCCGAATGGCTGAGACATTGGCCAAAATCCAGTTCCTTAGTACAGTGTGCTAATGTCACAGAGTAGGCCCACTTGAATCAGTGGTGTTTATGGGGGAGTTACCAAATCCCATCGATTCAACAGTCCTACTCTAGTGCAATCATGCAAAGCCAGAGAAGTTTGCTCTCAAGCCATTCCTTGTAAGAGTGGGGGAGTCATTAGTTAGTGGCTTCAAGTCCCAGCTCATGGCCAGAGGCAATGTATTGTGGGACTTCGGTCCCAAACAGCAGCAGGACCAGTGTTTCTCCACTCTTGTCTTAAAGGTTCCCGGCCTTTTCCAGGTCACAACCCCCTTCTATAGTAGCCCATGACTCCTGTGTTTATGTTAAGTCTCTGAAGCAATAACTTTGCCCCATTTTAATGGGGCAAAGTTATTCCTTCAGAAAAAGTAGAGGCTTTTTTTCTCCCCCCAAGGGCTTGTTTCTTGTGCATACACATACACACTAACTTTAATATCTGGCGCCAGAAGGTCAAGGAAGAAATGATTCAACAAGGGCTACAACATGATCTCCAGATTGGGAAATGTAGGGAACAATGAACTAACCCGCTAACCTCTGACGCATGACCATTCTATTCTCTTTCTTTCAGAGAGCTGAGGAGGAAGAGATGGAACATCTGCTCCAACTCAGTAAAGAGATTTTGTCGAAACCGGGAGAGTTGGGAGCCTTGGAGCCATCGGATCAGAGCGAAGAAGATCTGATCCTTGCAGAGTATGAAAGCGATGAGGAGAAGAAAGGGAGAAGCAGGTAAGAATGTCCCTAATACCACACCATGTTTGAGTGAGGGATTAAAATCGCTGCTCGAGAGAATTGGCATCCTATTCCTTGGGGTTTTCCCAGAGAATCGGTCTTCCTGGAAGCGGATGGCATGCAATGCCCTGGCTTAGCCCTTGGGGCTGAGCTAGATTGGAGTCAGCAACAGGAAGCCCAGGGGATTTTAAAAAATGGCCTTCCTTTAGAGAAGTTTAGACCCAGAAATCAAACATGGGAGTGGATGAGGAGCCTCTGTTTCCATGAGACTTGGCACCAGCTGTCTAGGGAGCGGGGCTTGGGGCCTTGCCTTTGTAAAGCAGCTGCCTGGCAAATACTGTATTTTTTGCACCATAAGACTCACTTTTTTCCCACAAAACACGGGTATGGAAAGTCTGTGCGTCTTATGGAGCGAAAAATACGGTAAATTTTCTGCTTAGTTGCTCTACATTGGTTCGTGGGTTCTGACAAAGTACCTTGAGGCTGATGGGATTGCAAGGCTGGTAATAAATTAAAGAACAGGAGTTCCAGTTTTATGCCAAAAGGAGCTCTTTTCAATTTGCCTTTTGAGAGTAGAGAAAAAGGAGCAAGGGCAGCTTAATCTGGAATTTTAAAAACAAGATAATAGTCTGCCTCCATGTATCTTCTTGATATCAAATAGTTTAAAGGAGCTGGGGGAGCACATTCTCCATGTTTGAGTGCCCCTGGGGAATAAAAATATGGTTCTTGTCAGTGCTGGTAATCCTACCCCTTCCTTGAATAATTCTAAAAACGTGGACATCCAGGACTGTTGTCCCATCAAAAACTGCAAGTTTGTACTGATTTCTCTGCACAAAGAATGCTTTCAGAAGTGGCTTGGGAACCTTTTTTCTATCTCTTAAGAGGCTTGGAAACAAACTTATAGTGCTTACCAATCAGCATAACATATTTTAATCAACTGTTGAGAGGCTAGCAGATTGTATTTCCCTGCAATCTGAAGAACTGGAAACTTCACATTTTTGTGATCAAAGCAGAATTGCAGGCTCTTTTTTTTAAAAAGTCTTCATTTTATTTTGTGTTATTACTTATATCCTACCTTTCTCCTGGCGAGGAGCAAAGACCTTACAATATTGAAACAGGCAACATTAAACACTAACAATACAATACAATTTTGCCATATTAAAAAGCAAATCTTCTATCAAATGGGAAGTGGAATAAAGATGGATCATTCTGTCGCAACTTACAATATTGAAACTGGCAACATTAAACACTAACAATACAATAACATTTTGCCATATTAAAAAGCAAGTCTTCTATCAAATTGGAAGTGGAATAAAGATGGATCATTCTGTCACTCTGCACCGGCCTTCTTACTCTCCTATGTTGATTTTCTGGTCAACCATGGTGCCTAAGCGTATTCTGAAATACAAGGTTACTCTAGCATCATCATTTGAAAAACCTTGTGCCAAACCAGAATGAGACAGGAATAGATCATTTCAGATCATGATCATTAAAAGTGGACTTGAAGGACTTGGTTGTCGTCGTGGGCTTTTGAAAAACATTATAAAATCCATAACAATAATTTTCCCATGGAAAAAGGCAGAATATAGATACTTTTCCTCATGGGGATGTGACATTTCAGGCACGATTCGCTGTGGGTGTGGCATCTTCTTATTGACATGTAGATATTGCAGGTCTCTGTAACATAAATGTTTGGTTCCGGGAATGTTTTTTGGCCCATCCCTCTTTTGAAACATCAAGCAAGCAAATCTGGAATGGGAAGAAGTAAATCTGGAATGGGAGGAACATGCGAAACCTAGTCATCTAGATATGTTGGTCTGCAACTCCCATAATCCGTCAACCAGCATAGCTGTGGTCCACTGCCTGTGAAGGAAAGCTGTCTTTACATGACTGATGCTTTCACTTTGTTCATCTTCCAATGAGGATATGGGGGGCTGGAAAGGTTACTAAGAAGAGAACCACCTTTCTGTTTTCTCCCTTTAGGTTAAATGAAGCAGACGGAGAAGATGCCGATATAGAGGAGGAGCATGTGACCAAGGTAAGGCTTCATAGGGTGTCTGCTTCTGTTGCCAGCAAGTGTTCCTAGAGCCACCTGGCAGAATGTTTTGAAAATCTTGGGTGAATCCCAGCCATCTTCTCAGAGGCTTTGCCTCATTTGCTGATATCCAGTCCAGCTTGATGGAAAAATATGTCTCCCTTCTCCAAAGAGTGCTTCAATGGTGCTTAAGGGAAGTCTTCACCAGCCTGATGATCAGGGATGATGGGATCTGAATACATCTTGTACAGTGCTATGCTGGGGAAGGCCTAATGAGGTGGAGTTCTGTATTTGTTGAACAGGCCCTGGAATAGCTAGTTACTGGCTGACAACCAGTAATAAGTCTCAGTTAGAGTAGACCCATGGAATCAGTTTTATGGAAGAGTTTGACTCATCAGCTCTCTCTTGACTCAATATAGTTAAAGTCACTACTTTATTTGTGGCTTCCTACTAGATTTCAGCCATTGTATTTTATTTTATAATTTGTAATTTTAGATACAGTGGTGCCTCGCACAACGATTGCTTCATACAACGACGAATTCACACAGCGATGGGTTTCTTTGGGGAATTTCCCCCATCGTTTAACGGTGTTCTCTGTGGGGGAATTTCACTCAACGATGTCCCTTTTTCGCTCCTGTAAAAGTGTCTTAAAGTGTTAGAAACCTGTTTTAAATGCTTGTAATCGTTAGCCCACCTCCTGAACCCTATGCAAACTTAATTTGGTGTTGTTCTGAGTCATCGTTAATTTTTGGTGATTTTTTTTATTCTCCATTGAAAGCCTTTGAACTTCACAAAGCGATTGAAATGCATCGAGTCGGCTTCAATGCATTTCAATTGGGGAACCGGGTTTCACTCAACGATGTTTCCTATGGCGATTTTCGCTTAAGGACGGCAATCCGTTCCAATTGGAACGAATTAACCAGTTTTCAATGCATTCCTATAGGAAATGGTGTTTCGCAGAACGATGGTTTCACACAGCGATGAATTTTTTGGAACCAATTAACATCGTTGTGCAAGGCACCACTGTATTTGTCATTTATGGTTTTAACTGTGTATTTTTTGTGTAGTTTGCTTGCCATCCAAACCATTTACAAAGGAGGGTGATAGTAATATTATCAGTAATAGAAAGAATAATAATAAAAATAGTGATGATGATGAAGATGATGATGAATATTGATAAAGGGGGGGAGTGCAGATCCTCCGTTGATGAGACATCCAGATAAGCTCCTGCATGAAAGGGTCTCTGGTCTTGACTTCTCCTTCTCCTTTGGCTGTTTCTCTTTCTCAGATTTACTATTGCAGCAGAACACATTCCCAGCTGGCCCAGTTTGTGCATGAGGTTCAGAAGAGCCCTTTTGGCAAGGAGACACGGCTGGTGTCCTTGGGGTCTAGACAGGTAAGCACACACCTCTTGTATTCCTTGATGGACCTGGCTTGTTACTGAAATTTCCCACGGGGCAGAACAAGACATGAGACTATAGCGCAGGAGTTCCCAAATGTGCGCTGTGGCACCTGAGGGTGCTGCCAAACTCAGCGAGGGGCACTGTGGAACCTCTCTCTGTCTCTTCGCTGAGTCTGCTGCCCCGGATGCTGCTTCTCTGGCTCCTTTGCACTCCTTCAGTTCCATATATGTCCCATTTACTGTATTTTTCCATTATAAGATGCTGTTGTTTAGTCGTTAAGTCGTATCTGATTCTTCGTGTCCCCATGGACCAGAGTACGCCAGGCCCTCCTGTCTTCCACTGCCTCCTGGAAGGGGAGGTATAAGATGCTACTTTTTCCTAAAATCATTACACTAAAAATTGAAGGGTGTCTTTTACATGAAAGTACATTGAAGAGAGAACAAAATGGCCCATACCTTGCCTGTGTAAACAGGCTTCCTTCAATCACGAGGCTTAGCTTCCTACAATCAGGAGACTTAGCTTCCTCCAATCACAAGCCTTATGGAACTGACGTCAGCTGATGCTGAACAAGCTAATTGGAACACACCTCGTTGGCGGTGGAGCCTGCGTTGTCGGTGGAGCCTGTAGGCTCAAATTCAACAGGGACTCGTAACGTCCAAGCGTTCTGAGCCCAGAGGTTGAATACTCAAAGCTAAGTTAAGATTTCTTAATTTATGGGTTAGAAAAGTGTGTATGGGGTGACCTATAAACGGGGGCGTCTTATAAGCAGAAAAATACGGTAACTTACATTGCACAAGGTGTCTTGCAATCAAATGTAACACAATGTAAGTTAAATGGTGCATACATTTAACTTATAATAATGATAACAATCATGGCAATAACAACAGCAACAATAGCAGTAATATCACCTACACATTTTTAGGATTGACCCCTAATGCTGAGAAATCAGAAGTGCAATATATTAATAACAATAACAAACCAGCAACAATGAGACAGTACTAATAACCGCTGCCTGCTTCTGCCTGCCGATCTCTCTCTCAGAACCTTTGTGTGAATGAAGAGGTGCGGACCCTGGGAGCTGTCCAGATCATCAATGATCGCTGCATGGAGATGCAGAAGAATAAGCATGGTACAGTACGGGAGTTGAGTTTCATAGCTAGTTGCCAGGGATAGCAGTTTAAATGGTGTGGGTGCACAGTGGTAAATGCTTCGCACATTCCAGTGACAGTTGCTCGATTATTTTTGTAAACAGTGACTGGCGAGTATTGAGACCTGTAAAAACATGTTGCAATGTAAACTCACATTCAGGGTGCCAGCCAGCACCCTCTTCTAGAGTGGACCATTCCATTTTCCTTCCCTTGTCTGACTTTCTCTTCCAGCCACAGTCAACCCATGTCTGTTGATTATGCTCTTTCCTTATTGGGCTGCTTTTAACTCTTTAAGGCTTTGTCCTGAAGATTTTCGTACATATTTGGATTTGCATAAATCTTTGAATTTGCATAATCTATGCTTGTGCCTTCGTAACATATGGCTGTTGCCATTTTGGCTATGTAAAGATGCATGTCCAGAAAGTTAGTCTACTATTAAAATATAACTATGACTGAATGTACACTGTGTGTTTTCTCGAAGGAGTTCATTTTGGTGTACATGTCTCACCTGTTCCATTTATCCTAAGAACGACCCTTTAAGGTAGGGTAGGTTGAGTGATAGGTTCAGGGTCACCCCGTGAATTTCACAGCAAGAAGAGATTTTAACTTTATCTTCCTGATTCAAGTCCAGTACAATGGAGGCTTGGTAACAGCTTAAATCACACATTTTAAAGAAATGTACACTAGAACTAAAAAGTTCTTATGCTGATGGAGACTCTCTGCAAGCTGGCCAGGAAAAATAAGGAATATTGTGTTTCAGACTGAATAAAGTATTTCGACAATTGCTCCTATCCATGCAAATTTTGCAGGGCTCTTAAAATAATTTGCTGAAGATCCAGTTTATGTTCGTCTGCAGCTGGATGAATGTGAGGAACAGAAGCTTCTCTAGCAATGACAAGGAAATTATCAAGCGCTCTCTCCAAAGAAAAAGGAAAGAGTCCTGCTTGCTATTCCCCCCCCATGTTCTTGCTGTTTTTACTGGATTTTGAAATTATTCATCTTTTGATGTCTTTATTTAGGCTTTACATTGGATCTTGCATCGTTGGCTGCTTCTAATACTTATTAGAAAGGGAAATAGAAATAAATATTCTTGTTTTGTTTATCTTCTTTTCTAGCAACTATCTTAAATTAGATTGGAGGACAGACCTGTCATCTGTTACCCATTATACAAGGGCAGCCATTCCCAGTTTGGGTCCCTGGACATGTTTTAGCCAACAACTTCCATTATCCCTGTCTGTGCAGTCATGGGGTTTCTAGTCCACACAATGTGGAAGCAATCAAGATGGGTTGTGCTATAATCTAGGAAGTGCCACATTTACAGACCACACCAATTAGTTAGTTACGTATGTATCGTCAAGTCAGAATTGACTTGAAGCGACCTGAATAGGAGTTTCAAGGGAAGTAAGATATTTAAGAAGTGGTTTTACTAACTCTGCTCACTCAGTGAGTTCCCATGCTCAAGTGGGGATTTGATCTCTGGTCTCCAAAGTCCTTGTCCATCACTCTATCCACTACACTACACTGGGGTCCCCCCCTTTCCGACCACACTTCTAGGTTAATATTAGCCCCATGTTCTATTTGACTCCCATTGTTTTTCTTTTCTACTTCTTATCTCCAGAGAAGAAGAGTACAGGAGAGGAGGGGAAGAAGAAGAAGAAGCAGCGTGTGAGTCGAACGGTGTGTCCATTTTACTCCTATGAGAATATGCAGTTTCTTCGAGATGAGGTTCTGGCCGAGGTGAAGGATATAGAGCAGTTGGTGACTCTGGGCAAGGAAATGAAGGCCTGCCCATATTATGGAAGCCGATATGCTATACCAGCTGCTCAGGTGAGTTTTCTGAAGGGCACTTTGTCAAGTTAAAACATCTTCCTCAGAACCCTATAGAACTTTATAGAGCTCTAGGGGGAAAAATCAGAAGCCTGTGTTCATCACAGCTGGCATTTATCCCAGAAAAAGGGTCCATTCCAGAATGAAATCAATCACTTCCATTCATATCAAATTCATCTGGGCATCAAGGTATGAATCATTTCATTGTTGCAATGATTCCATGCAACATCAGCTTGCCTAATTCTAAGGCTTTATTCATCTACGTTGCTTCTGCTTTCCAGGTGCGCAAAAAGTCCTTCAGAGTTGTTGAAAACATCCAGAAGTCCTATGGCTGTGGAAAACTGTAGGAACAAATGCTTTAATATATATATGAAAACTAAACTTAAGTTGCAGGCAAATATTTCAAATAAGTCAGAATTTAATCCAAAATCAGGGACATAAAAAGTACAATAAAATGCCAAAAATAATATTTTCATTACATTCTAAAAATCCATGAGTACATTCAAAAAGCAGAGTACATATCTAAAATGTATCATTTAAAAGTAAAAAGCACTGTAGTTTTAAGTAATCTTTAGCCTTTAAGCATATATAACACAGAAAATTACTGTAAGTGCTCACCCAGCCAAGTTTGAATCTATAGAGGAGAATCCATGTTGTCCTTTTTTGCTGTTGTTGCTACATGATGCTTGATGTTTCTTGCTATCTGTGTTCCATTGTTGTGTTTGTCTTCTGCATCCCTATATATATTTCTCTTAGATATCTGCATTTCCCTTTAGCCATAAACAAGTTAACTTTGCTAGTGTAATAACTTGCAGAGACTAAATACACAGTTAGAAAATTTATCATGGGAATTTTTACTGCGTTTACACTTTCTGTAAATCAAAATCTGGCTAACTGCCACCATGATGGTAAGTGTAATTATTTTGACTAACACTTGCTAGGCCAGTGGGTTACACTGGATGTAAATCATTGGAATTGTGAAACAGAGGTAGAGCAAGTCACAGGATCAGCAAACACTACCCACTGTTTGCTATATCTGTAAATGCCACTCTCTCATGTCAACATGTTGCAAAGTTCCGCATAATGCCAACCAATTATTTCAATACCCTTTCAATCCTCTTCTTTGTTTAGGGTTTTTATCCTTTGTAAACACATTAAGCTGTCAGGCATGAGATGCTTTTGCAAGGCAGTCTTATTGTACAGTAGTGACCTTGCTTCTAGACCAGGGCTGCAATTTCTACATGCACCCCTTAATCATTTTAGCATCCTATATATTCAAAATTTCACATCCTTTCTTAAAGAGATGTGAGCCTCAGATTTGGAAAGGAATTCCCAGCTTCTTTTTCGATTTCTTTCCTAAACAAGATATATGAAAATGGTTGCTCTGTGAACAAGCAGAAAAATAAGCGTTGTACGTGACAATTTAGAGCTCAGTGTCTCCAGAACAAAGAGCTGTAAATTTCCTTGGGGTGTGTTCGAAGAGAACACAGGTTTAAAGTCAAGCCTGCAAACTTGGGGTATGAGCATTGATGTCTTCATTCTCTTCTTGTTCTTTCATATCAGAGACTGAATATCTTTGTGGCTGTACTGAACTTAGATGCAGCTGCTCTAAGTAAGGATGTCATGCTGCATCCAAATGACTCTTCTAGGTTTTTCAGTCAATAATTTCTTCTTCCTGTGCTGCCTTTCTCTGTTTATTTTACCTTGAAGAAGTCCTGCTTCTTTTTTCTCCATATGCAGTCAACGTATTACAGCTATTTGCATTTTGTGAACTTTATGATTTCTTGGCCGTTATTTATTTATTTTGGTACTTTAACACTAGTTACCCTCTACCACAAAATTCTTAACATCCTGCATTTAAATGCCACATTTAAAATGCTTCTGTCTTTTTTATAGTATGCTGCGGCCAAATCCTCTTGCATGGTTACACTGCTGTAACACAAACAGCATTGCTTTGGAAAGTAAATTGCCTTTTGTTAAGAAATCAGTGTAGACATTATCAGTTGCATACAGAGTTGTGTGACTCAGCATGCAACTGATCATGTCTACAGTGATTTCTTAACTTGGGGCAATTTGCCTTCAAAAGTCATGCTAGTAGTGCACAAACAGAATCTAGAACCTCTCATCCATTAGAATTACTGAATTAACAAGGGGAAAGTTTCAGTAAGTGTGAAGAGCAGATTTTAATAATGGTAAATTGATTCTAGAACACATTGGATGGTTTTTTTTTAAGCTACTTTGGGCGGGTGTATTACTGTAATAGGGGAAAATTGGAGGTGTCCACATTTGCATTTCATGCTGCATGGGAATAATTCTAAGTGTTGTTGTCCATAGAAGCAAATCTGCACACCCTTAGGTAAAAAACATTAAATGGACTTTTTTCTTAGTGAGTAGTTGTACTTTGAACACTTTTTCAGAATTATCCTTTTAGGGACAAATGTCTGGTCAGTTAAGACATTCTGAATTTTTGACAGGTCTCAGTCAAATCCTGATGATTCAGAATTGTCTTTCTGGAAGAGAAAGGTCTACCCAACTGGCTACAACTTCCTTTCCTTTGTGCCTTTGTTGGGACCGTTCCCCACATTTTAAGGATTTGCTACACAACCTTAACACAACAGGAGTTGAAACCGCTTCTGGCTTTTCATGCATATACACAGGGGTATGATGTACATGTTTATATACCTAGTTTCTCCCCATTTCCTTGAGCACACCTCAGAAACCAAAACATATTTTGCTTTGCCTCAGAAATCTGTTCTGTGGCTGGTAACACAAGAGGGACAGAAGTGCCTTGTAGCTGAAACCTGTGTCCATCCTGCAGCTGGTGGTGTTGCCGTACCAAATGCTCCTGCATGAAGCTACCAGAAATGCATCTGGGATCAAGCTGAAGGATCAAGTTGTGATAATTGATGAAGCCCATAACCTGATTGATACCATTACCTGCCTCTACAGTGCTCAGGTTAGCGGGTCCCAGGTGAGCCAGACTTTTCTCTGATACCTGTTGTTTATGTTCTCCTCTGGAGATGTCAGATTTCCACATTTTCTGGCAAGCCCCATTTAGTGCTGGGATTTTCATAGAGGATTAGGTTGCTCAAGCTATTCATGACTACTTATCATGCTGATAGACTGTTGCCAGCATCAGAGTCAGTATATTTCAGTATAGACATAAGAAGGGGGTACCCTTGCACTCATGTCCTGACTTTGAGCTTCCAGTTGGAACATCTGGATGATCATAATGGGAACAGAATGCTTTTCTAGATCTGATCCAGCAGCGCCGTCCTGATGTTCTTATGTTTATTCCCATTATAGCTGTGCTGTGCCCATTCCCAGCTGTCGCAGTACATGGAGCGATACAGGTAAGGTTATTCACACCTTGAGTTTGGGGTTTGCCTTATAAGCTACGGCTTGCAATGTTTGAATGCAGTGGCAATCTGCAGTTTCTTGGCAACCAGGTTAAGGAAGCATCTAATCTTTTCCCACTGCATGTGTAGGAAGGGAAAGAAGGTACAGCATGTGCGTCCAGGAGGTTACTCATTCTTATAAGAGAAAAATCACAGTTTGCTGTTAAGTATTAGATGAATCCAGGGATTTCATGATTGAGATAACATTTGCATTGTAGGCTTCCTTGTTAATGGATCATCATTAGAAATGGGGGTATTCCTATATAAATACAAATACCACAGTGCAGTTGGACTTAATGAGGACCCGGCCCCTGGGCTGGACGGTCCACTCATGTGTCTGGTGGTGGCGGAGGCCCCACTCATCCTTCTAATCACACCTGGAGCGCCTCCCTCTTCCCACTCAGCTGGCCACTCCAGGCAGGGGGAGGGAGGATGAGTCTCTCTGCATGGCTGCCAAGTGGCCAGCAGAGCAGGAAGAGAGTGGCACTCTGGGCATGGTTGGAAGGATGAGCGGGGCCACCACTGCCACCAGACGTGTGAGTGGACAGTCCGGTCCCAGGGGCTGGACCCTTGTTAAGTCCAGCTGTGCAGGGATATTCGTGTATGAATACCCCTATCTTGGATCATCATCTTAATCACTATGGTATGCCTCTTATAGGATAAATAGATTGCTGGTGCTGCAACTTCGCCTTGAGTAATGATGGAAAGTACCAGGAGTATTTGGATATATATGCCTTTTTTTCACTACCAGTGGTATAACTGTTGCCATAAAACCTAGGAGATGCACTCTGGAGCCCACCTTAGTTCTGTTCTATCGGGAACATTACCAATTAATGCAACACTTGATCTGTGTCCTAGGAAACGCCTGAAAGCCAAGAACCTGATGTACATTAAACAGATTCTGTTTTTACTGGAGAGGTTTGTGGCTGTTCTTGGAGGTAAGAAGAGAGTTCAAGTCTATCGAATTTCACTTGGCTGTGAACTAGTACTAACCATTTTCAGCACTGCCCAGCAGAATCCCGTACATATTAGCCATAAAGCTGAATTACATTGTCATATGTGGTAGTTTCTCCTGAACCTATGGGCTTCAGGGACATCGACCATTCTGGAAGTCTTAGCCTTGCCTTGTGTGTAAGGGAAACCAAAGGACTTCAGAATAATGGCGGGGTGGGTGTGGGGAACAGAGGTTGGGGTCCTGATTTCTTTAGCATTGCTTCTCCCATTTTGCAAAGCCATTTCTTGTTTGATTGCTGCCATCTTCAACTTCTCCCTCAGACCATCCTCAGTTTCCATTTTGTCATCTTGACAGGATAGATTGGGGGGGGGGAAGTATATAGCAAATAGAGGATGTTGCTTATGTTTTTCCTTAGTTGTGTCCTTCTCCCTTGAAGATATGCCATATAATGAAATTATAACTTGCTTATAATTACATTAGCTTTCAGTATTTACTGAACTTGCTACCAGCTTAACGTAATCAAATTTCAAATGGGTTGCTGAATTTGTTTTAAATGTTATGTACAAATGCAATAAACTGTTAAATTAGGAAGCAAACTGGAATCTGCATTTAGTGAAGCAGAAACTTTAGCTACGATAAAGAACATTTCCCTCTAAGGAACAGCCTCAGAGAGAAAGCAGGAGGCCAGTAATTACAGGGTAGCCCCTGCTGAGCAGCTGCTGACTGGCTGTATGTTTATAGCACCACTCAGAAATAACTCCTCTTTCACTGAGCTGTACTCTCTAGTACAGGGTTGCTATGATACTAAGGCTTGCCTATTCATAATACCTGAAGGATACCTGAAGGACCGCCTCCTTCCATATGAGCCTACCCGGCAGTTAAGATCTAGCCAGGGGGCCCGTTTGAAAGAGCCATCCCTCAAGGAGGTAAGAGGGACGGCTTATAGACAAAGGGCCTTTTCGGCAGCTGCCCCCAGACTATGGAATGCCCTCCCGACTGAGATTCGTCTGGCGCCGACATTGATGACATTTCCGCGCCAGGTCAAAACCTTCCTGTTCCAGAAGGCTTTTAATTGAAATAACATCAACTGTGGGTCCTGATGGCAATTTTAATTGTATTTTAATCATTTTATCTTTTATTGTATTTTAATTGAATTTTAATTGTTGTAAGCCGCCCAGAGACCTTTGGGTAGAGTGGGCAGCATATAAGTTAAACAAACAAACAAACAAACAAACAAAATGACTGCCATGGCAGTCAGGGCCAATCACAAGCCCCAGATGAGACTGAAAGAAAAGCCGTCATGCCCAAGAACTATGGAGAAGGGAAAAGTGGCCTCTCAAACATTAGGCCACGTTGTGGCACCTGGGCTTTTCACTTCTGCTACCCATTCACAGGAGGCAAATTGAGGAGGCTCCAAGATTATGTGGCTGAAGTGCGAGTACAAAGCAGAAGTGGGATCTGAGTCTCCAAATGCCAGATCACATACTTGCCCCTATAAAGTACATTACACAAATGCTTGTTTAAATGAAGACAATTCTACCCCCACCCCAAAATGAAGCAAAGTATATGCACACAGAGGCAAAAAATACATCACCCCAAAACCAGCAGCCCAAGCAGCTAACAATATACAGACCCCCCAGAGCCCAATCGCACCCCTCACTTGCTGTCGCCTCCCCTAACCCCTTCCATTTGTGTAATTAGCTGGGCAAACTCCAAAATCAAGTTCTGGACAAGAGCCGTAACTGCTTATTTTGTAAGAATGATCATGCAACTGGAAATACACAGAGTATGAGAGGCTGGTGCCTCCCATTGTACACCACCAGCTCATTTTTTTCAAAATAAAATAAAGTAAAAATCAGACAAGAACAACAGCTTAATGGGTGTGGGAAGTAGGTTTCTAGGCATGCTGGTTGTCCATGAGCACCAGTCAGGGCTTTGGGTTTTGGTAGGCTCTTGGCTGTTTTGTTAGAATTATTCTGAAAAAAGTAGCTTTGCTTCAGCCTAGCTGGCTTTCCAATTACTTCTTGTTCTGCTCTTGATTGCATTCTACAGGAAATGTGAACCAAAACCCAAATACTCAGAATGTCCCAGAAGTAGGTAGGTTACATCTGTGATTGCGGCCTGTGTGTAAAATGAACTGGACGTTTGGGTGGGATGCCTCACTGGGAATAAGATATATGTCTCTGTATTTATGTGATTATAATTCATTCATTCATTCATTCATTCATTCATTCATTTCTTTTTTAGGTGTGCAGCTGAAATCTATCAATGACTTTCTCTTCCAGTGTCAGATTGACAATATCAACCTCTTCAAAGTAAGGAATGGCTTGGCTTGCTCCAAAGTTTAACAATAATAATGCTGTGTTATCACAATTTGATGGTTCAAGGTTTTCTAGGTAGAGAATACTCACACATGGTTGACCATTCTCTTCTTCTGGGTTTACCTGGGACTGTGCTGCTTGCCCAAGGGTCTACTCACAGGAGGCACAATGGGGAATCAAACTCCCAACTTCTGGTTCAAGGCTAGATACCTACACCCCTGTGCTATACAGCCAGATCTCATACTAATGTTTCGAAGTGAGCTAATAAAACCTGCTTGTGGAATGAGTGCTTGTGTTCCAGTAGTGTTCCTTTTCTCCCTACCAGGTGATACTTGATTGTGATTTGTTTTCTCCCCCTTTTACTCTGTTGAACGATTAAGATCGTAACAGTGTTATCCTGGGGTCTTTAATTTTAGGCAAGGGTGGGCAACTTGGTGCCTTCCACATGTTGTTGGTCTACGACTCCCAATGGCCCAAAGTACTAGGACTAGTGGTGATGGGAGTTGTAGTCCAGAGTAGCTGGAAGTCATCAAGTTATCTACCATGCTCATAAAATCAACAATGCTACCTTTCCTGAATGAAAAGTTCTGCGTGTTTCAATCACGATGATCATAAATAAATTTATCTATTTGACTTTTATAGTGTCTATCTGGCTGGCAGGGCCACTTTGGGTGGTTAAATACTTGTAGGCCTTCATGTTTCCTAGACTTAAAGCCCACCAATCCAGCAGCATGACTCCCCGTTTTAAAATTTTACTTTCCCTTCCCTTTTATCTTAATTTTAGAGATGGGTTCTCTTTGTTTGTTTGATATCTGTCCTTTCTGCTAGTTGTTAACAGACACATCCTTTCTCTGTTATGGCAACCTAGGAATTCCAAGAAGTCTTACCATGAACATCCCTGTTCAGGTCTTGCAGACTTATACCAGTAAGGTGCTTTCATTGGAGGGAAGCATTCATAATTATCCTTCCCCAATGAAGGGGTCCATTCCATCTTACTGCCCCAAATTGCCTCAGCTTCATTTTGCATTCTGTATATGTTAAACCAAGTCTTACGTTCAAATGGCAGAAAGATAACTTGAGTCATCTTTCTCGTTCCCACCTTTCTGAACAAATTATAGATGGACATGACAGATCAATATTTCATCTCTGTACGTGTCATGGGTGTGTATTACTGCTTAGCAATAGCCCAGGGCTTCCTGCTCTCATGGTGGAACAGAGGAGGAATCCATACACACTGGGCCCATCCCTTCCTTGCTCAGATCATAGACAGGAGGCACGTGATATGAAATCAGTTCTAGGCTGGACTCTGCCCCAGTGGAATCCAGTCTTTCTTCTATGACCATCTTTCTTCCTGCTGTCACCCAAATCAATATTCCTTGCCTATGGCTCCCTCCCCTTCTTTCTCAGTCAGCCATGTGCATGGTGATTGCAAAACAATAACTCTTAAAAATAAGCACCATCCTTGGAATTGGGTGACCTCCGGTCCTCTGCGAGAGTAAGGAATGCAATGTGGTTTTTGCAGTCAACCAGAGAGGTCTGGAAGATGAGGTTAAATGAACAGGCAGAGTAAGAACCTTTCCTTGTGTGTTCTCTCACTTTCTTCCAGGTTCAGCGCTACTGTGAAAAAAGCCTCATCAGCAGGAAGGTATTGTTGCTTCGGTCTTTTATCTGTCCCAGTGTTTTCCAACCTTTCTGGAGTCATTACCACACCCTTTATAATAGACCCCTTTTTATAATAATAAATGGTGACCCCCGCTACATTTGCAAAAACTAAAATAAAATCATTTTAATGGAGTAAAGAAAAATTAAAATAGATTTTGTCAGAATACAATTCTAACTTAATATGTTTAATATGGTGTGTGTGTGTAAATCAGCCTCTACCAGATAAAAATTTGAAATTTAAAAAAATGGCAATACCCTTTGAGATTAATTTACTTCTTGGGAATGTGGAAAGGACCCTTCTTTCATGTCTCCCCCTCAAAAAAAGTCCCCTCAGTGAAGAGCCCCCCTTTCTCCTCAAACCCAAATAAACATCTCCCACGTGCCCCTTGTAATCCCCCAGTTCTCCTTCCTCACCCTTTTGCCCCCTTGCTTTATTCCCCCATGGCTCAGGCAGGGCCTGGAGGCCTCTCCCTACCCAAGTCCCCTCTCCATTGTGCTGCCATCACTATGCCCGGAAGAGCAAGAAACTCGGGTAGAGCAAATGGCGTGTCTGCTACAGCAGCAAAAGCTTTAATTCCTGTGGTCTCCTTGTGTGGCTGTGTTCCTGGCATGCACCGTGCACTTACCTCATTCAGGCCTCTTTGAGCAAGACGAACACTCAGGTCCAAAGGGTTGACATCAGTCCTCCAAAGATGGATGCGGAGGAAAAAGAGAGAAACAAGCGAGAACATGTAGGAATGATGCACATCCATGAAAGAAAAACCCACCAAAAGGGGTACAGAAATGACTAATAACTCCAGGTTGCCTGCCATTCCAATGCAGATTAAATGTATCTATCTATGGACCAAGAGGATTAAAATAAAACAAACTGGTGTGTACCATATTTAGCATAATAAATATAAAAATAATTGCAACTAAAAATAATTGTGGCAATCCTCCAGAAGACATCTTGCAACCCCACCCCAGGTTGGTAACCCCTGATCTAGCATAAGGTGCATCTGCTCCATGGGGTGGGCAAAGATCTCATCCATGCCTTGATTTCTTTTCCCAAAGCTCCTCTGCTGGACAGTTCCACTTTCAAGTTCATTTCAGTAGTGTTTGGGATTAGAAACCTCTCCTGCTTTGTTGAAAAGGAAGTCTGTGATACTTAAGAACACTTCTGCAGAATACCTTTCTTAAATGAAATACTTTCTTGGGCTCCATGATCACTACAGATGGTGACAGCAGCCCCGAAATTAAAAGGCACCTGCTTCTTGGGAGGAAAGCAATAACAAACTTCGACAGCATCTTAAAAAGCAGAGACATCACCTTGCCAACAAAAGTCCGAATAGTCAAAGCTATGGTTTTTCCTGTAGTGATGTATGGAAGTGAGAGCTAGACCATAAAGAAAGCTGACCGCCGAAGAATTGATGCTTTTGAATTGTGATGCTGGAGGAGGCTCTTGAGAGTCCCCTGGACTGCAAGGAGAACAAACCTATCCATTTTGAAGGAAATCAAGCCTGAGTGCTCACCGGAAGGACAGATTCTGAAGCTGAGGCTCCAATACTTTGGCCATCTCATGAGAAGAGAAGGCTCCCTGGAAAAGATGTTGGGAAAGTGTGAAGGCAAGAGGAGAAGGGGACGACAGAGGATGAGATGGTTGGACAATGTCATCGAAGCTACCAACATGAATTTGACCCAACTCGGGGAGGCAGTGGATGACAGGAGGGCCTGGTGTGCTCTGGTCCATGGGGTCATGAAGAGTCGGAGATGACTTAACGACTAAACAACAACATGATTCTGTTTGCTGCCATCCCCATCCCCACTTTTGTGCTATGCTTTTTTTTATTCAGCAGTGGTTAGGCCTCCTGTAAGGTACTGTGTCCAGTTCTGGACACCACTACTAAACAACAACATGATTCTGTTCACTGCCATCCCCACCCCCACTTTTGTGCTATGCTTTTTTCTTTATTCAGCAGTGGTTAGGCCTCCCCTAAGGTACTGTGTCCAGTTCTGGACACCACACTTGGAGAAGGATTCAGACAAACAGGGGCGAGTTCAGAGGAGGGCAACAAGGATGATCAGGGGACTGGAAGCCAAGCCCTGTGAGGAAAGACGGAATGAACTGGGCATGTTTAGCCTTAAGAGAAGAAGACTGAGAGGTGATAGGATAGCACTTTTCACATACTTGAAAGGTAGTCATACAGAGGAGGGGCAGGGATCTGTTCTCAATCATCTTGGAGTGCAGGGCATGTGATAATGGGATCAGGCTACAGAGAGCCAGATTTCTGCTGAATATCAGGGGAAACCTGCCAACTGTTAGAGCAGTATGGCAATGGAACCAATTACCTCAGGAGGTGGCGAGTGCTCCCAACACTGGAGGCATTGAAGAGAAAATTGGAAAACCATCTGTCTGATTTGCTGTGATTTGGATTCCTGCACTGAGCAGGGGGTTGGACGTATAGGCCCCTTCCAACTCCATTATTTTATGATTCTATCTGTCTGCCTGTCTAAAAAAAATCTAGTCTCTGAGAACCTTTTGATGCTGACTTGAAAGTCTGAAAATAGCCTTGATGTTTTGGCAAAATCATCGTTTAGAACCCATCCGTTATCTGTGAAAGTGTTTAATCTAAATTCCGGGTTGTTTTCTTCTCTGAACCACCCTGGCCCTGATGTTTCTGTAAAAGAACAGCAGACCTTTTTAAGTTGTCAGATTGTCTAAATGTAGATGCTCTGCTGACTTTGAAGATAGAATTCGGGTATGAGAAAGATCCATGAGCAGAAAAATCTAAGGGGTACTTGATGCTTTTTCTGATCTCTCTCTCTTTCCCTTTCATCAGCTGTTTGGATTTGTGGAGAAATACGGGGCATCTGGAGCTTTGAAAACAAGCAAAGAAGATCTAAAGATGGCCGGCCTGCAGAATTTCCTTGAGACCTTGAACAAGAAGCAAGGGAAGGAGGGTGAGTTTGGCTGTAAATTGGTCTTTAGTACAATTACAGAGAGGAAAGATCCAAGGGATGAAAGAATAGTTGCCAAGACAGCAACTTCTTAAATGTGTAAGAACTCCATTCTGTTTGGCGCATCTCTATTCGTATATGTGTTTGCTGCCTTTTCATTTCAGTACAAGCACCAGAAATGCATGTATTGCTTTGCAATACATGTGGTCTGGAGTTCATGTGCGACACTGAATCTGTGTATGTAAGATGATATTCTTTTTCTCCCAGGGAAACAGTTGTTTACTCTAGAGATGGGGGTATTTGTATAGAAATATCTCCGCACAGGTGGAAATAACGAGGGTCTGGCCCCACGGGGCCAGACTGTCCACTCACAATTTTGCCACTGCTGCTGGCTCTGCACAGGCTTCCTATCCCTCCGTTTTCCACAATCGACTACCCAGTCCTGGCAGGAGGCGGGATGACAAGCCTCTCTGCTAGGTCGGAGAGTGGCTAATCCATTGCGGAGAACAGCGTGATAGGAAGCCTCCGCAGAGCTGGCGGCAGCGGTGTAATCATGAGTGGATAGTCATGAGTGGACATGGGGCTGATCCCTTGTTATTTCCACCTGCGCAGGGATATTTGTATTCATGTACGAATACAAATACCCCCATATCTAGTTTATTCCTGCTGTCTTTTGAAAGCAAGTGAAAAAAATCAGTTTAGTAGGAAATTCAGCTCAATTATTTTCCTTGAAATAATATGCTTTTGATGAATTATTGGGCATTTTTACACACAAGACTTAAATAAGAATTCCCTTTTAAATATATCTGTGGGTGACAGTAAGTATTCTATGAATAAGAAGTACGCATATAAAGAATGTTTCATGTTTGGTTGATGTAGGCTTTCTTGACTTGATGAGACATTTTGATAGGTAGTTTTTGAACTACAGGAGGATCCCTGTATCTGTGGGAATCAGTACCTGCAGTTTCACTTATCTGTGCTATGAAAATATTAAAAGAAAAAAATCCAGGGAAAAAAAATATTTTCTCATGTATTACCAGAACTGACCATTAGAGGAAGCCAGAGACTGTGCGACAAATTCTTTTTGTTGAAGAATACATAGGATCGTCTCTGTCATTGTTCAGTTCTGGCAATTCATGTGAATTTTTTTTTTATTTCTGGCTTTTTTTCTTTTACCATAGCATTTGGTATTATCCACGGTTTTCAGCATCTGCAAGAACTTGGAAATCAATTTCTGGCTTTTTTTCTTTGGTATTATCCATGGTTTTCAGCATCTGCAAGAACTTGGAAATCAATTCTCCATGAATAAGTAGGTTCTACTGTATTTGAGATTGTTTGCCCGCAAGCAAGAGAAAGATAAGGTCTGTTACTTTTTCTTATCAGGATCCCTTTCATTTTTTTATAGCCTTGGTAAAACAAGTGGTGTCCATAGTTAGAGTTGTTAGAAGAGGTAGCCATGTTGGTCTGTGCTAGCCTATCAGGCCAAAAACAAAAGGAAAATAAAAAACAACAACAAAGAAGACCAAAACATTGTGGCACCTTAAGTACTACTATATTTTAATGTGTTCATGGACAAGTCTGCTCTTATGTCTGAGGAAGTGCACTTGTCCGTGAAAGCTTACATTGAAATATAGTAGCTAATCTTTAAGGTGTCACAATATTTTTTTGGCTTCTTTGTTTTTTATTTTTATTTTGTTTTTGGCTTGATTTGCAAAACGATTGTCCCACCCCTTAAGGAACAAAGCTTACACACAGTGCCACAAGCACAGGACAACTGGCTGCTTGTATATGAAGAAGCAAGCAACCCTCTTGAGTGCAACTGCTTGTTTTGCTATACAGTGGTACCTCGCAAGGCTTGATGTGCAAAACGATTGCCGCACCCCTTGAGGAACAAAGCTTACACACAGTGCCGCAAGCACAAGACAACTGGCTGCTTGTATATGAAGAAGCAAGCAACCCTCTTGAGTGCAACTGCTTGTTTTGCTATACAGTGGTACCTCGCAAATTAACGACCCCGCTAAATGACGAATGCACATAACTATGACTTTTTGTGATCGCTATGGCAATTCGCAAAACAGTCATTCCAATGGGAGATTTTCGCTGGACGTTGATTAGGTCCGTGCTTCGTGAACTGTTTGTTCGCAAGACAATGATTTTTACAGCTGACCCCGCTAAATGACGAATCCACATAACTATGACTTTTTATGTTGTAAGCCGCCTAGAGTGGTCGAAATGACTAGATAGGCAGGGTATAAATACAATAAATAAATAAATGAATAAAAAATTTTGCGATCGCTATAGCAATTCGCAAAACAGTCATTCCAGTGGGGGATTTTCACTGGATGTTGATTAGGTCTGTTCTTCGTGAACCGTTTGTTCGCAAGACGATGCTTTTTACAACTGATTGTTGGCTCCACAAAATGGCTGCCCTGTGTTTTCCGGACCCATGCTTCACAGGGCACCCATTTATACAGCTGATCGGCGCTCGCAAAATGGCTTCTCAATGGGTGATCTTCGCTGGACGACAAGGTATTTTCCCCATTGGAACGCATTAAACGGGTTCTAATGCATTCCAGTGGGGAAACGGGTTTCACATGACGACGATTTCGCTAAACAGGCGGTTTCAGTGGGATGAATTATTGTCGTCATGCAGGGCACCACTGTATTTGCTCAAAAATGACATTCATTCTGTGTTGAAAGCTCTACAAAATACCTCAGCCTCTTCTGGTATGAAGAGAAAAAATTTGCAGTTTCTATCCTCACGTGAGGATGAGACAAGCAAGAGTTCTTTTCTTTTTTCTTTTCTTTTCTGTTTTTGGACTACAACTCCCAGAATTCACCAAGAATTTTTCACTCAGTTGTACCTCCCATTCAAAAAAGAAAGTTGCTGCACTGCTTCCTGGGAGTGGTAGTTTTGGGGACGAGCCTGCTATAGGGCCTAAAAGGTAGTGAGACTCCTAATCCTAGGAAGCACTGTAGCACCTTCTGTTTTTGAACAGGTAGATCCTGGTACAGGTGAATGAAAAGTAAGTGTGAGTCAGTGGGCAGGAACTCTCAGAATTCTGGCTGGGGAATTCTTGGAGAATTCTGGAAGCTGAGTAGCACATTCCCTGTAAAAATTTACATGACTCATAAGAACACAAGAATTTACATTTATGTGAACATTGATCAGACAATATGAATTTAAAAATAGCCTTTTAAACATGTTGCCTTCTTGTTTGTGGAACAATTGAAAAGTGTGGAGACTAAGTTCCTCAATATCTGATCTGCAGGCACTCCACAGAGCTCCCCTGAAGATGCTGAAGACAGTCAGCCCAAAATAGCATCTCCTCTGATGCACATTGAGGGGTTCCTGGCTGCGCTCACAAATGCCAACCAAGATGGAAGAGTTATCCTCACGAGGCAAGGTACTTTGTATTTGAATAAAATAGCCCCCATATCCACGGGATCAGTATCCACGGTTTTACTTATCCATGGTCTGAAAGTATTAAAAATATTAAAAGAAAAGGATCCAGAAAATAATATTTTCACATGTATTACCATAACAGGCTACCAGATGGTGTCAGAGACCATGTTATGAATACTGTAGTTCTTAGTGAAGAATACATAGCATGGCTTCTTGTGCCATCTAATGGCCTGTTCAGGTAATGCATGTGCAAATAATTCTTGGTTTTTTCTACTTTTTGCATGCTGAATATATAGTGTTCACCAATATCCATGGTTTTCAGTATCCGCGGGGGCAGAGAGCCAATCCCCAATGGATATTGGCATCCTACTGTATTTATTTTTGGCACCTCCTGAGTGGGGAAATTGAGCTGGTGATTTATCAAATTTGCCCACTTATAGTCTAAGAAAATGAAGCTAGAGAACAGGTGCTGGCCAGTACATATTTCAACAGATGAGCTGTTGAACCAAATTTGCAACCTCTTTTGAGTGTATGTGTGTGTGTTTCCTGACCTTTTTTTACTCAAAGCCATGCAAAAATGCATAGAAATCATTGACTTGGAGCAAGCAGTGGAATGGTAAGAGTTCTGCTCCTCACTGCTAGTAAAATGTTACTTTACCACCTTTTCTAATGTGTTGATCCCTCCCTTTTCCAGGCACTTTAGGTCTGAGCAGCCTCAAGTTTCTTCTCTTGAATCCAGCAGTGCATTTCGCTAAAGTACTGAAAGAGTGCCGGGCAGTGATCATTGCTGGGGGTACCATGCAACCGGTAAGATGTAGTGTTGAGTTCTCCAAGCTGTTGTTGTGGCCACTGCTTCTAAATTGGCACTGGAATTTGGTAGAGGAAGCAAGGGGCTTGTGCCTGCAATAGTAAAATGTCCTAAAAGGTTAGGATCTTTTCAGTGTTGCCTACAAAATTTGGAGCAGGGACATGTGTTACTGTGTATTCATTTTTGTTGCTTCATGTTTGGGATGGCGAATAAGATTTAAATCTAACCAGAGTTTTATATTACAGTACCTGAAAAATATACCTTTGTTATGCAGCAGGATCTCCTTATCTGCTGGATCAGCATCTGCGGATTCATTTATCCACTACCTGAAAATATTAAATTAAAAAAAACCCACAGAAACTGGGTATTCTCCATTCCTGTCATTCATATCTTTATCACCTGTTTTTTTAAAGTACTGTAGTAAGAGTGCATGCGGTAAGACTGCAGAATCTGTAGGGGATTGGTTCTAAGCTCTTTGTTGCTGTTGTTCAGTCGTTAAGTCGTGTCCAACTCTTTGTGACCCCATGGACCAGAACACGCCAGGCCCTCCTCTTTTCCACGGCCTCCTGGAGTTTGGTCAAATTCATGTTGGTAGCTATGATGACACTGTCCAACCATCTCGTCCTCTTTCGTCTCCTTCTCCTCTTGTCTTCACTCTTTCCCAACATCATGGTCTAAGCTCCCAGCAAATGCTATATATAGCATTGTACATGGCTTCCTCTAGTGGCTAGTTCTGGTAAATACACTGTGTATGTGTGTATTTATGATATGTATAGCATCCTCTACTTCCATATTATATTATATCCACAGGGAGAGGCTTAGAATTGATGCCCATGGATACCACAGTCTTACTATCCTCTCATTACTTTTTTTAAAAAAAAGAGGTGACAAGGATGCGAGTGACAGGAATGGAGAATATCCAGTCAAATCACAAATAATATTGGATGTCTCCTCACCATCACCAGTGAGCAGGCCTCCTCTGTGCACAATGGCTTCCAACAAGATTAAGTTGGCTGAGTCTCCTTTTTAAACAAGATGTTTCCTCAAGTGTTCAGCTTGTTCTGCTATCTCCATCCACTCCCTTTATTTATTTGTTTATTTTTAATTAAGAAGGAAAATTTGATTGGCCTTCAGCAGTGTGCTGTTTGCCCTATTTCTTCAGGCTGCCTGCAGTTTTTGACAAGCCCAAGAGCTTGATTCTCTGTGAGTGTGATCTTAAGGTAGTGATCTCTTCAGGAAAATCAGGATTTCAGTAACCCCATGGTGGCAGGACCCCATGTGGGCCCTAGCTGATGGCAGTACAGTTGTGCCCCGCATAGCAACGATAATCCGTGTAGCAAAAATCGTCGCTATACGGATTCATCACTATGCAAAATTAAAAAGCCCATAGGAATGCATCGAAACCCCTTCAATGTGTTCCTATGGGCTTAAAACTTACCTTTTAAGCGAAAATCCTCCATACAGTGGCCATTTTAGCTGCCCGGTAAGCGAGGAATCTGTATAGGCCCCATGTGGGCCCTAGCTGATGGCAGTATATAAACAGGAGGATGAGATAGGAGGAGGGAAATCTGTGTGTATCTAGCCAGCAGTCCCAATTGGAAGACATTAAGCTGGATGGTTGAAACAGGTTTGCACCTGCTAGCATCTCCTGTCACATCAAAATCGAGTGATCTGACTAGCTTTGTTCACTTCCTCTCCCCTGCCTCTTAAGTGTGTCGAGGTTAAAGGAAGCAACTGTGTTTTACTGAAAGAAATAAGAGGGAAGGACAGATCAAAGCAACTGTGTGATCTAGGGAATCCTTTATGTGTACCTGTTAGCCTCGCTTTGGTTTATTAACAGCCAACGTCAAGCGTTCTTTGGTTTCTCGACTCCGTGGAACAAATCAATATCACATCCCAGCAAGCTGAGTAGTTAGCAAGGAAAGGATGCCAAGGGAAGGGTCTGACCAGGTGCTGCTTCAGAAAAAAATGGAGACTTGCATTTTTCTTTGACAGAATGACAAAATTAACTTGCCCTGGCCAATTACTCTGCTCACCCCATTCCAAGATACAAAAATTAATCTGTGCCATTCCAAACAGTTACTGAGGTGTGCTCTTTCTTTGAGCGAATGTCAGCTTGGAGAAGGGGCTAAGTGTGGTGCTGTTTGGATGTTGAGGGGATGTGGAGGTTAAGAAGTAAGGAAAAGACAGATGGCTTCCTTCCCCTGTCTTCCCTTCCTGAGATCTACTGCACTAAAGAGCTGCCCTTGCTAAATCTGAAAGCTGCTGCAGCGGGTAGACTGGCAGAATATGGTTCAGGAGACCTAGATTCAAATCCTAATTTACCATGAATATCAGGAAGGGTGACTCTGGCCAGTTATGTTCTCTCAGCCTCGCCCATCTCAGAAGAACGTTGTGAGGATAAAGTAGAGACAAAGAGAGCCAAGTACGCTGCCTTCCGTTCACTGAGGGAAAAGTAAGGTGTATATGTAATATGTGTCTCTAATCACCATGTATGGGTGTGAAAGTTGGACAGTTAAGAATGCTGACCGGAAAAGGGTGATGCACTCATTCGAAATATGCTGCTAGAGGAGAGCTTTGAGGGTATGCTGGGCTGTCAGAAAGACAAACAAGTGGGTCCTAGATCAAATCAAGGCTGAACGATCTCTGGAGCCAGAAATGTTGAAGACGAGACTATCCTTCTTTGGACGCATCATGAGAAGGCAGAATCCTGTGGGAAAGACAATAATGCTGGGAAAAGTGGAAGCCAGCAGGAAAAGAGGATGGCCAAATATGAGATGGACTGATTCCATAAGGGAAACCACAAGCTGGTGTTTACAAGAGCTGCGCAAGGCAGTTGAGGACAGGACATTTTGGAAATCACTTATACATAACAACAACATGTAATAAATTGGTAATAAGTACTGTGTTTCCCTGAAAACAAGACAGGGTCTTATATTAATTTTTGCTCCAAAAAATGCATTAGGGCTTATTTTCAGCGGATGTTTAATTTTATTTTCATGTACAACAATCTACATTTATTCAAATACAGTCATGTCATCTTCTGTTTGCTGCACAATGGTGGAGGGCAGGGTTTCACTTAAGTGGGGCTTATTTTTGGAGTAGGGCTTATATTATGAGCATCCTGAAAAATCATACTAGGGCTTATTTTCAGCTCCAATTTATTTCTATACAGATTAGTACTCTAAAATTCTTGACAGGAATTAGCGTGATAGCATATGGGTGATGTGTGGCTATATGGACTCCTGAATCAATATTAATGTGCCTTTTTAAATAGAAGGCATGCAGATGAAACGTGTGTGTTGTGCAGCTTGTGAAACTGGGCAGTGGGGCCAAAGCTTGGGGCGGAACACATGCTTTGCCTGCGGAATATCACAGGATCAGTGACCGGCATCTCCAGGACAGGCTGGGCTGATACAAACTCCCATCTGCTAGTGCTGTGTGAGATGTAACAGTTGGCGACCTCTGTATAGCTTCATCTATTCACGTAATTGTGTACGCAGATATTTTGTTGAGATTTTCCTACAGCTCTAGAAAATGTGTGGTCTCTACAGATGTTGCTAAACAGGAGTTCTCATTCAGCATGGCCCATGGTGAGGATTGCTGGGAGTTGCAGACTAACAAGTGTCCAGAGGGCCATATGTTGCCTGTGCAAAATGGTGCTGGAGCCGAGGATTTCTGTAAATCCTGTTGGTGGTTGTAGGGTTCTTGAATAGTCAGTTTGCTGGTCAGTGGACTGATCTTTTCATGCATAGATCCAAGACTGCTTTGCTGATGTTTGCGCTCTTCTATTTACTTGTTACAGGCATCGGAAAACACATTATCACATTATCCTTAGACATTCTTACGACTGCAGGTTCTGCTGTTGTTTATATTCTTTACATGACTATTCATAGCTTTGTATATATTTTTGTGCCTCTTTGAGGACATCTTTACAGTGCTGCCTCGCTTAACGGCGATAATCCGTTCCAGAAAAATCGCTGTGATGCGAAAACATCGTAAAGCGAAAATAAAAAGCTAATTGGGCTAAAAACTCACCGTCCAATGGGCTAAAAAAACCTCACCGTTCCAATGGGCTAAAAACTCACCGTCCAGCGAAGTTCCTCCATACGGCGGCCATTTTAGTGCCTATATAGCGAGGAATCCATCCCTAAACACAGCGGGGAGCCATTTTAATTACCTGGTGGCCATTTTGAAACTGCCGATCAGCTGTTAAAAAACCATTGTTTTGCGAAGAATCGGTTCTCGAAGCAGGGAACTGATCATCGCAAAGCAAAAAAACCCTATTTAGACCATCGTTTTGCAATTGCAAAAGCGATTGCAAAACATTGTGAAGCGGATTCGTTGTAATGCGGGGTAATTGTAAAGCGGGGCATGACTGTATTTTTATTTTTAATTTTTCTTCATCATTCTTGTCTTCTCAATGTAGATCATCAGTAGGTCCTTCTCTTGATTCTTTTATAGAACCAAGACCATTCATAATTTTGTATATATTTTTGTGCCTCCTTAATCATGTCTTTATTTTTATTCCTATTTTTTCTTCATTATTCATTTCCTCCCCTTTATTTAGATCCTTCTCTTGATTCTTTTTTAAAAAGGAGTCAGGAGATGATAGGGTGCAGTGAGGCCACAGGGTGGCACTGCGGCTCTTCCTTCAGGAGCTCAGCAAATGGGATCCAAGTGATGTTGCACCATATAGAACGGCAAGTCAGATGAAAATAAAAACTGGAGAAACGGTTAAGGTGTGCCCTGTATTTCTAATGTTTGGAAATACACTGCTTGTGATAGGATTGTAGCCAGTTATGTTTCTGACACATGATTATCCATTAAATAGTCATTAAATAGTGGCACAACTGTCATGGCTTGATCCCCCTTGGTTTTTATGCAGGTGGTCTGTGCCAGAGTTTCACTGAGATGCTGATGGCATCATGATGCACAGCCAACCTTAATAGCATTCTGCAGCTGTGGATTTGTACTGTATGTACATACAGATGTGTACATTCCACTTCAGCTGAAAAGATTTTGTGCCTATTGATTAAAATCCTGTTTCATAAATTACATCTGAGGAAGAGTGATGACATAACTGGTAGGGGGAGTTTTTCAGTTATTAAAGACTTCCTTCTTTAGTCCTGTGGTTGGTTGACTTGTGAGTATTGTGTTACCTTGCATGGAAACCATGGGATGGCAGGAGGAGGTCTTTAATTACAAAAAAAATTTCTCTGTTCAGGAATGTTACCTGATGACAGAGATTTTTGCTAATTAAAGATGTCCTCCTTAACATCCTGTGGCTTCCATGGCTTCCACCCAATGAAACATGCAAGTAAGACAAGCTGCAGACAAAAGGAGGATGTCTTTAATTACAGTGATGCCTCACAAGACGAAAATAATTCATTCCGCGAGTCGTTTCATATTGCGAAAATTTCGTATTGTGAAGCGTGGTTTCCCATAGGAATGCATTGCAATTTAATTAATGTGTTCCTATTTGTCTTGTGAAGCAGGGCCATAGAAAAATTTGTTTTGCGAGTCACAAAAATCGCAAAACACTTTCGTCTTGCGAGTTTTTCATTGCGCAAGTCATTAGTCTTGTGAGGCATCACTGTACTTAAAATCTTCCACTAGCAATGATACAATCAGTCGTGTGCTGGCACAGTTTATGCAACGGGATTTTGGCAACTATATAGACCAAGAGAGAGAAACTTCTTCAGTTCTGTTTAGAGAATGTGCATTGTAATGTGCTGTGTAATTACAGTTTTACTGCCATGGCATGGATTTGTGGGCTAACACAGCTTACTGTAAAAACAAATAAAACAATTTAAAATTGGAGCTTATTGCAGGATGCTAAGAATTTCTTACAGATAGTGACCAGTGAAGAAAGACTAAGGCAAATGATCAAGAAATAATAACATGAAATGCAGAAAGCTGAGAATATTTTGGCCACATAATGAAAAAAAGGGGGGGGAGAACCAGATTGTGACACCGTTATTCAAGATACAATATTGGGAAAAGATGTTCAGGGAGGAGAAGAGTTTGTTGGAGACTGGTTTGGAGGCAGTACAACATCATTGTTTTTAGAGCTGCTTCATCCAAGGTCAGAACAGACATAATTAATGGTGCCCAGCTTCTGCTAAGGGAGGAGGCATAGATACCAGCAGTTTGGCTTTTAACTTGGTTCCATTAGTAAAATACAGACTGTGGAAACCAGCTTTTTTAGAATCTCAGCTTTCACTTTAAAATGAAATAAACAAATTTCTAATCTTTGTGGTTGCCAGGGTTTGCTTGAAAATCGTGGGTGTCTCAGAAACGAGAAGGCTGTGAAATCAGGTGTCAGGAAAACACCAGTTCAGCATCTTGTATGGATTCATCCTCTCTTTCATATGCATAAATCATGGAATTGTTCCGCATTTGTAGCATAAGGTAGAGCAGTAATATTGGGGGCGGGGCCACAACCCAGTAGTTGAAGCTATCCTTTGCTCCCCTGGGGAACAACTAGCAGGCGGTGTCGATTGTGGACAGAGGACTCTTAATATGTACAGTTGAAAGACTCTGTGTGGTTCTTCCATGTTTTATTTCCTGAACTCCCAAAGTGGGAAACCAGCAGTGGTTTGCAAATTGAAGATGGGGTTGGCTGGTCTGATCTGGTTGGTCATGATCTGTTGCAGATTATGCAGAGCCTCGTGGCGCAGTGGTTAAACCGCTGTACAGCAGCCAAAACTGTGCTCATGACCTGGGGTTCAATCCCAGGTAGCCGGCTCAAGCAGCACCCCCCTCTTTTTTTTGAACGTGGTTTGCAGTTTCATTTAAAATGATGGGGTGCACCCAGCGCTTCAGTACTGCTAAGTTTTTTTCTTTTCTTTTTTGAAAGAGTACATCTTTTACTGTATGGCTTCTAGGTGGCCGATTTCCGGGAGCAGCTGCTTGTGTGTGCAGGGGTCAGCGCAGACCGAGTTGAGGAGTTCTCCTGCGGTGAGTCTCTCAGAGGATACAAAGCGCTTTTCTGTGCTGTAAATTGCAGCCAGCAGGCAGGCCCTGCCTGGTGGATGCTGCAGCACTGTGGGTGGCCAAGTTTGGCTGGCTCTGCTCTTTCCCGCCAAAATGCCAGAGCCAGGGGAATGAAACAGCTTTTCACCTCTGGCTACAGTTTCCTGCAGAGAATCATTGCCACCTTCAGCTGGCAAATGTGTTGCTCTGGAGGTTGGGAGACAAAAGATAATTTTATTTTTTCTTAAAGCTAAAGATGAAGGAAACTGGCTGGGTAGTTCAGTGGTTTAGGCATCTGGCTGCAGAGCCAGAAATTGGGGGTTCGGTTCCCCCACGGTGTCCCCGGCAGGTAGAGCCAGCCTGGGTGGCCTTGGGCGTTTAGGCATCTGGCTGCGGAGCCAGAAATTGGGGGTTCAGTTCCCCCATGGTGTCCCCTGGGTGGCCTTGGGCAAACTGTACAGTCCCAGGGCACCCAGGCTGTGTGCTCAATGGTAGAACTTCAAAACATCTGGAAGGCCATAAGTTGCCCACCCTTGACTTATAAGCTGTTTTGTGTAGACATGGTTGTTCAGCTTTGGTGTCATTCATTCCTTTTCCCTGTTTTTGTTTTATCAGGTCATGTGATTCCCCCAGACAACATTTTACCCATCATACTGTGCAGTGGCCCATCCAATCAGCATCTGGAATTCACCTATGAGAAGAGAGGCCTGCCTCAGATGGTCAGTATTTGTACTTAGCATTCTTCCAAACAATGCAGCTTTCTTTTTGAGAATTCGGATGGCCCATTTTGGGAAGGAACGATAGCCATCGTCTCTGAAAAGAATTGTGATCTGGGTTTAGAACTGAGATAGTGGCCCTTCACAGCTTCTGGAAAATTCAGGCAAGTCCTGGGAATTCATATGATAAAGTTGTATCTTCCTCCTTGCAGCAGATGGGCTGTGATTAAAATTAAACAGAATAGAAAAAGGAGAAAGTATATTCCTTTCTGGGGGATATATAGTTAGTGCCCTCAGCACAAGCAACCTTTTTGTGTGAGTATGTGTGCAGGAAATGTCTCCTGGGTTCATTTTTAGTGAGCTGCTAAGTGGATTTTTTAAAGAAGAAAATTACTTTATTATTTATAATGGTTCTAGGCTTTAAAACTTGTTTAAATTGTTAAAATTATGAGTATGTGGCAGTGTATGAACTGTAGGGAGCTGCTTCTTTTTAAAATGATTGTGTATTAGAATGTTAAAAAGAAGAGGCAGCAGAAGAACCAAGAAGCACAAAGCATAATACTGGAAATTCTGCTAGGCAGAATTCAGAGCTTTATAGTTATTTTTAGTTAGACACTTAGTAGATCCTCTGAGAGCTGAGATACCCCAGCATCTTCTATGACACCTGTTTCCATGGCACAATGGTGTGCTATAAAGATCATCATGTGTAGGATGTACATCAATGAATGTGTTGTTGATTCCAACACTACATGACCTAGCTAAATACTAAGTGAAGTGCTCTCTTCTCTATGCATCAGCTTGACATGGGCACAATTGGAGTGGACAATTTCCTTGTCCACCTCACTTCTGTTCAGTAGACTCCTTCCCAATTTATACTTTTTCAGTTGTTGGGGTGAATTGGGGAGTTTTGTTGCCAGAAGCTTACTGTATATGAGCCCTGTGGCACAGGGATTAAACTGCAGTACTGCAGTCTAGTCTCTGCTCATGACCTGAGTTTGATCTTGATGGGCTTAGGTAGCTGGCTCAAGGTGGGCTCCATCTTTTCCTTCTGAGGCCTGTAAATTGAGCACCCAGCTGCTTAGGCAGCTGGCTCAAGGTGGGCTCCACCTTTTCATTCTGAGGCCTGTAAATTGAGCACCCAGCTCACTGGGGGCACAGTGTGTAGCCTGGATAATTAAAACTGTAAACAACCCAGAGGCCGTTCTAGCACTACGAGAAGGTATAGAAGCTGAAACAACAATGATATGCTGGCTAAAGTATGCAGGGCAATATCAAAGTCTGGCCAAGAGCCTCATCTTGTGGCAGCAGCTGCATGGCAGACATAATGTGATCAACAATGATACGCTGGCTAAGGTATGCAGGGCAATAAATTTTTTAAAAAAATAAACAGCTTTTCCAAAGTCTGGCCAAGAGTCTCATCTTGTAGCAGCAGCTGCATGGCAGACATAATGTGATAGGGTAGTTACTCAAAGGAAGACCACGCTGTTGGGCTGGTGTTGTCCCTTTGCTTGTTCATGTTGGGTTTTGCCCTGTGAAAAAGCATAATTTCCCTGTTGTAGCTTTCCCTGCTCTGAGGCTGTTGGCTGTCTTGGCTGAGGAGGGATGAGACTTGAAATAGAGCACCTTTGGTTGAGGAAGGCACCTTTCTAGAAGAAAACACAAAACCCTGAAAGGGCTGTCTTCTTTGCTGCCCCCAATGTTGTAGATTTCTCGGCTGACAGCATCGGGCGGACCCAGGCTGTTGTGTGTCTTATATGGCTTTGGGAGATCCCCTTTGGATGGCGGAGTGGGTAGAGAGACACATTTTCCTACCCCTCCCTATTCTGCAGCCTTACCTGTTGCAGTGACCCTAAGCGTAAGGCCTGTTCCCCAAAGGCCACATTCATTGCTCTTAAGGGAATCTGTGGCTCTGCTAAATGCAAGATGCAGACCCATCCGGCAAAGCATTTTGACAGCCCTCTTTATCATGCAGGAGAAATTACTTGGAAAGATGTAGTGGTTGATGCAGCCTCTTCTTTGGCGAGTCAAAGCCGCTGGAAACATTCAGTCCTTCATCATGTGATTGAAGCTTGTCAATCTGGGATTGGCAGCTTCTGGGGTGGGAGGGCACATTCATGCCTCTGGACCCACCAGAGCAGTAGGTCTTCCTGCCACTAGTGCCTTACTGAGTTTCACCTTAAACAAGGCGCAAGGGGAGCATGCACCCTGTTGGGAGGTAGAATTGTTGCTGTTTGTTGGTGTTGCATTTCCATGGTTTGGCAATGGGGGTGACAAGAGATACAAGGCAGGCTAGCAGGCATAAGAATTGTCCATCTGAGGATGGAGAGGGTCATATTTTTCTCTGTTTTTAGATGGAGGAGACGGGGCGGATTCTTTGCAACCTGTCCAACATTGTCCCGGGGGGGATGGTGTGCTTCTTCCCATCCTACGATTATGAGAAACAGGTGTACACACACTGGGGGAAGACAGGGCTGCTCGCCCAGCTGGCTGCTAAGAAGAAGGTAATTATCTGTCCAACCCTCGGCCGCTGCCCTAATGCGTTGAAGTGGCAGCAAATGCTTCTAAAACCAAAAACCATGTATTGGCCGGCTGGGGCTTTTTGCTCTGGTTTTCTTCTACTTTCCTTGTTCCCCTTTCTTGCACAGTGAAGCAGGGACCCCATTTATATGGCAGATTCCTGCCCTGGATCTAAATTGGACGGGATATTGTTTCACAACATCTAGCATAGGCATCCTTCAGTCTTGAGAGACTATGGTAATGTTCTCTGCATCGAGGAGTGTCCTCTCCAGAGCATGAAGCCTGGGTAAAATAATACAGAGGATAGGCTGTTACCCAAGTAGTAGATCCCCCCTTTCCACCTTGCTGAAATGGTCCAATGGAAAGGCAAGAGCCAATACAACTGGTTCCAGTGGCATTGTAGGAGTTGGCAGAATGACACGAACTGCCTTCGGGACTCCAGCTCCGGATTTTGCCTTTAGGTTAACTCTTGGAGCCTTTTCCATGAGTGGATATAGCCACAAGGCAGTGGAGGTTTGAAATTGGAGTTTTCCTTCTCCTAGATGGGCTGCCTTCCATGGCTTCTAGAAGCTTGGAAAGTGTAGCATGTTTGTATATGGGAGGGAAGGAGATTTGTACATGCTCCTGTGGTGCGGGAGACCTAATTTCGTTTGGGTTGTATTTTTGAGAAGCAAAATGTAAGCTTTTGAAGTCTTGACAGCTGAATCTTGTTGTTCTCACATATTTCATTTATGACAAATTCCAGGAGATGTGTGTATGAGAGAGAGAGAGAGAGAGAGAGAAAAGAGGGCAGAGGAGACAAACGCATGCCCTTTTCCTCAGAGCCATCATTTAATCTCATAGCAACCCTTAGACATGGGTATGGCAGAGAGATTGATTTTTGCCAACCAGGGAGTATCATGAGCCCTATCGAGGCTACCTAAAGTCAACACAGGAGGAGAGGGAGCAGGGTGGCCCCATTTTGAGAGCAGTGGTCTGGAGAGTTGCATCAAGTGTATGGATACCTCCCTTTGGGCAGAGGGACGGCCGGAGATGTTCAACCTAATAAGTAACCCCATGCTCCCCTCTTTTGTGTATTTACTGGGTAGATATAGGAATGTACTCTGATCCTAGCCCCAGAACTGTATACGAGGTACAGATGTTTGAGAGATTGAATACGCATCTCAGAAAAGTAGTTTGTAACTTGAATGAGACTCATAGTCTTTAAGATGCCAGAGAACTTTTCTCCTCTTTTTTTTTTGGTTACCTCTGCAGCTCTAAAAGGATTTTAACTTTGACTCTGTTTCTCCAAGGTACCCGGTATCAGTTTGTTTCTGTGTTTGGGTAGAATTTGTAACTTAAATGAGACTCATTCTAGAATGAGACTAATAGTCTTAAATATGTCAGAGAACTTTTCTCCTCTTTTTTGGTTACATCTGCAGCTCTAAATGGATTTTAACTTTGACTTTGTTCCTCCAAGGTACCTGGTATCAGTTTGTTTCTGTGTTTGGGTAGAAGCCACATCATGGCATCATCTCTGTATGTGTTCATCCCTTTTTTTTGGTCCTGTATAGCAACTAATCCATTATGATTTCAACAGATCTTTCAGGAACCAAAAAGAGCTAATCAGGTGGAGCAGGTGTTGGCAGAGTATGCCAAGTGCATTAAGGTGAGAGAGGGCAGACTGGCAGATGCCTAAGTGCTGGGGAAGGGGTGACCCTTGTGGCTGGACACAACTCCTGCTTCCTCTCCTGTCTTTGCGCCCACCCTGCCATCTCTGGCCTTTTTGTCTGTGTGTACAGCGTTGCAGCCAAGCAGAGGGGCCCATGACGGGAGCATTGCTGTTTTCTGTTGTTGGTGGCAAAATGAGTGAAGGCATCAATTTCTCTGATGACCTAGGAAGGTAAATGAGCAATCAGCTTCTGATTGGGGGTGTGGGATGTTAAGCCCTCCCATCTGATACAGCTTTGAAACTTGAATAAATGTAAGGAATCCACTCTGAGTGAAAAGTTGAAGTTTTGGATTGCTGGAGGGGAATTCTTGAGCATTAGTCTAGATAGAACATGATGGGAAATATTTGTTTCTGCCAGATTTTTGGCTGCAGACAACCATCCATTGTCATTGGTAATGCTGTCTAGGACTGATGTGAGCCTTTGTAGAGGCACAAGTTCACTGCCCATTTTTAACCATCAGCAGATGCCTGCTTCCCCTTCATGCCTCCTGTTTAGAGTGTTAAAAATGGTGTGGACATGTGCAGCTGGATTGCAGAAACCCTTTCATCTGAAATGGAAGGTGGGCCTATTCAAGGTTGCTTCAAACAGCAGCTCTGAAAGAGGCACGGCTTGAGGCTATAATCACCTGCTCCAAGCACGGCTACACTGCCATTGCTGCTGTAAGCACACCAATCTCAGTTGGGAAGCCCGGTCTCAGGAACTTGACCAGGGAATAATGGGTGCTGCCTTGAAGAGGGGCTGTAGTCCAGGAGCACAACATGGTCTCACGTTCCGTCTCCCGACTGGGCTAGGTCCATCTGATTACAAACCAGCTTCCTACAGTCTGTGAGATCAATCCATGTGTAGGGAATTGCTCCTCTCTTCGCCACCCCCAGCCATAGATTTGTCTCTATTAATTCCCTTTTAGCTCTGTTTGAAACTCTCTAGAGCTTCTGCTTGCGATTCTACAAACAAGAAAACTAGCCTCATTGATACACAATATGGTCAATGCACACTAAGGTGAAAAGCATCTATTGAACATTCACATGCAAAGTGGCATTGCAAGGTTGTTGCAAAAGCCAAAGAAATTCCTGCAGGTAATGCGTTTCTTTCTTTCTCTCTCTCTCTTTCATCTCTACTCTTCTCTCAGGTGTGTGGTTATGGTAGGTATGCCTTATCCCAATATCAAGTCTCCAGAACTTCAAGAGAAAATGGCATATCTTGATAAGACAATGGTAAGAGCCTGTGTCTTCCCAGTTGACCAAGTCCGTTTTTCTTAACATTTTATTACGCCAAAGCACAAGGGCGTAACTGCTTCATCAGGACCTGTTTCACCAGCCACGTCCTCTTGTTCCATTCTGTATTTTTCTTACAATACAGAATCAAAAGATTAATGCATTGACTGAGCAATTAGAGTGCCGAATCACCTTCTAGCCATCCTTTAAACTCTCCATTTCTTGTTCCCCACAGTGGCATCTCTAGCTTGGTGAAAATGCTATGTAGAGGGTCTTGAGGGTGAATTGTGAAAAGAGAGAGGGACATCTAAAAATAAGCAGTAATGCCGCCTTCCTTTCCTTTTTCCAAATGATGGTATTATTTAACCTTAACCACATTTGGATGATACACATTTTTGCAATTACAATCAGCTCCTATATACAAATACCCTTTGATTACAACTGAGTTTATCGTGTGTGTGTGTGTGTGTGTGTGTGTGCTGTACCATTTAAATACAACAGAGTTTATCAGAGGTGTGTGTATACACACACACACACACACACACACACCTCTGATAAACTCAGTTGTAATTAAAGGGTACAGTACAGTCTTCCTCTTAGCTTATCTGTTGAAGGTCATTGAAGTAGTTGTTTTCTTTCCACTTGAATTTGAATGCATTCTCTGGAATCAGGAAGCCTCCCAGCAGTTCCGCTGGCTTGAAACTCTGTTTTGGAGCCTTTGTCTCGGGAGGGTGCATGTTTTATTCTCACAGAGGGATATGTTATCCTTAGTAGTTGCTTCAAAGTTAATATGGAATTTCATCCATGCCTTCACTGCTGTTAACTGGAGAACTTCATGCTGTTACTTCGTTTCTGTGAGTGATTGCAAAAATATATACCATCTGAATATGGTTAAGGTTAAATAATACCATCATATAATTACTAATGTGCCTTTATTTATGATGCTTATTATTAATTTCCATAGTTTTCCCATGAATTTCTCTCCTTTCCATGGAAGGTAGATTCTGGACCCAACCATTTGAATCAAATGTGCTTTCCAACCCCTTTGCAAGTAGGAGGGATTGTCATGTTTATGTGAAAACATAGTTAAATAATTTCATCCTAATGAAATAATTTAGTTGATACTGAATTAGTGAATCGTAAGAGTGGCTGAAAGAGAACAACAGGTCTCATGGCTCATTCGTGTGATACAGAATGCTTGATCCTGTCTCAACAGAACATTGCTTATGTCTAAAGCAATGCGCTAGCTGTGTGTGCCTTGACTTGAAGGACAAATTCAGCACTGCTTGATGCTTCAGCAGTATCAAATATTTGAGCAAACTTGCCCTGTTGAAGGTCATTGAAGGTTGCGCTACAGGCAGGGTTGTTTGCTTGGGATGATAAGGTTTGTGTCAGCATTTCCCTGTTACAAAGAGTTGTTTGTTTGCAAATGGGGCAGTAAAGTGAGGGAAGGCTTCTTCTGGTTTTCCGAGCAGCAGATCCCAGATACTTCCCTCTAGGACTTAGTCGTCGTCATCGTTTAGTCGCTTAGTCGTGTCCGACTCTTCGTGACCCCATGAACCAGAGCACGCCAGGCCCTCCTATCTTCCACTGCCTCCCGGACTTACTGATGCTTATTTAGCGCTCACACTTAGCAAAGATGTTGGCTTTGGAATCTGTTTTGTCTTCACGTTTACCCCAGTCCTCGACATCCTGACAGTGTCTTCACTAGTTCAGGCAGCTGTCTTTTATTTACCCCTCCTCTTAAGGTGTCTTCCACCCAGCTGCAACTTGGCCTGGAAACCCAGGCCAAAATAGACTTGCCTGGTTCCTTACAGACTCGTCTGCCTCTTCCCCGAGATTAGCAACTGTAAAGGTTGGGTTTTTGATCTTGCTAGAGGTCATTAAGGAAGGCTGAAATTCTGAGGCTGACTTGCTCATGCTATCTTGGACAAGGAAGAAAACAAAACGAGACAAAAACACTGTGGCACTTCAGTCTTCACTGTAATTTTAATGTGAGCTTTCACGGATCAAGTCTACTTTCTCAGACATCATGAAAGCTCCCATTAAAATATAGTAGTTATCTTTTAAGGTGTCACAACCACTTCGCCTCTTCTTTTGTTTTGCATTGTTTTATTTCTTGTCTGATATGCTTGTGCAGACATCTTTTAAGGTGTCACAACCATTTTGTCTCTTCTTTTGTTTTGCATTATTTCTTGTCTGATATGCTTGTGCAGACTAACATAGATGCTCCTTTGAAAACTCGTGATTTTGTGGTTTTCCCTCCTCAGCCCAAATCTTCAGGCCAAGCCCCAGGCAGGACACTCATAGAGAACTTGTGTATGAAAGCAGTCAACCAGTCAATAGGTAAGGCTACAGTAAGAGAAATGACGGCCGGGAGAAATTTGATGCTCTCAGAAATGGATCGTTTGTGTTGCCTACCTTGCTCCTGTGTGGTCATTAGCTGCAAACCATTAGGCAGCATTAGGAGTTGTTGTCATCATCTGCGATGCCTGTGGCCACAGAGCCCTAACATACCAAAAGTTTTCTGCACTTCTCAGGTTTGAAAACAATTGCTTCTTCCCTCTGGCGGGAACTCTGGGGGCTTCTCAAGAGGAATCAGCAATTCAGGCATGCTCTTGCTGTTGTACATGAGCCCGGCCTGTGGGTCAGTAAAAGTCAAGGACTTGTGCACAAGATTGCCTTAGGACCACCAAAATAACTGGGGGTTAATTAGTTGAGGAGAGGTTCTGGTTTAAAATGGGCTTTGCATGCAGATGGACTTCAGTTCAGTTCTTGCTATAAGGAGCTGAAAGGCTCAAGGAAAGATGGTGACAGATATCTGTCTAAGAGACCTGGAGAACTATTGCAGGTCAGACCAGACAACATTGGGCTAGATAGATGACTGGTCTGAACTGGGATGAAGTAGCTTTCTATTGCTAACTTAACTTGCACATAGAATTAAACAGTAAACATAAACTGTTTATTATTTATTGCCAGCAGAGTGGATAAAAATCAGTGATTAAAAACAAACTAAGAGGATTGGATTTTCTTGTTTGTACTGGATTTTTTAAAGATTAAATCAGATTTTAAAAAGTTTATTGTTCAGAGTTTTTTTAAAAAATGTACATCTATAAAAATCACTGTTTAAAAAAGTATAGGCCTTTCAAAAAGAAAGCCTATTTTCCAGTAGTTTTTAAAATGTGTGCATGAAAGCAAGCAAGCAAGAGTGCACTCTGCTGGTAGTGGAAAACCACATGATTAAATCAAGTCTTTCTGAGTACATAATTTGATTTAGATCAAATCCACCTGCACTAAATGCTTACCAGCTTTGGGAGTAGAAATCTGAGCTACTGTTAGTAGAAGAACATAGGGGACTATGTTGGAAGGCAGAGAAAGTTGGGTGGTTATACCCCCTGCTGCCTGAGCTAGTTCTTTTATGAAGCTGCCAGTCATCTGCGAGGCGATTCCCTAATTTGACTTAAAACACTGGATGCCATTAGATGGTAATGGGCTGGCAGGCGTGGTGTGTCATCTCTTTGTGGGTTGTTGTGTCTCTCTTTCATAGGGAGAGCAATCCGACATCAGAAGGACTTTGCCAGCATTGTGCTCTTAGATCACAGGTACTCACGTCCCGCTATTTCCAACAAGCTACCTCAGTGGATTAAAAGCAGAACCCAGGTGAAGAGCACTTTTGGGCCAGCCTTTGCAGCCTTGAGAAAGGTGAGCCCTGCCCCCCCCCCCCCGAAACTCTGCTTAGCCAAGTGTCAGTCATAGGGGCAGCTGAAACGGGGAGTGATACCATTGCAGAGGACCTGAAGGGGACAAACGACCACATCTAGGCTAATCTCCAGCGTTTCCTGCTGAGGAGTACCCTCCTTTTCACTCTCGATTTCCTTGTCTTTATGTCCGAGGTAATTTTCTGTCTGCTTTCCGTTTTGTAGTTCTACTGGGAAAAGAGATCAACTTGTGAGGCATCCTCTTCGTGATGGGAAGGCATCTGGCTCACCGCTCCCAGCTTCCCTTTGTACAAAGTGCCTTCACTGTGTATGAATATGCCACATGTTAATATTTCACACAAACAATATATTTTTTTCTGTGTAATTGAAGATAATTGTCTGATCTTTTGCTGAGGAGGTTTTATTCTAACATCAGACAGAGTTATTTTATTGCCCGGGAGGGGAGGGAAGAGGTCTGAATGGTCACATGAGCTGGACAAGGTGTGGCCCTCCAGATGCTGCTCGATGACAGTTCCAGTCACTCCAATGGGAACAACGGTGGGAACTGTGGCCCAGCTAATCTGGAACAATACAAATCACCCATCCCTGGACTATAACAAATTCATGTGCTTTTGTTGTGTTACTCCTTGCTTCTTGCATCAGTGGTAGTTACCAGTCTTTCCATAAGTCTGGTAATAGAATAGGTCTTGTGCAAATAATTTATGTGCCATCAAGTCGCTCCCCACTTACGGTGAGCAGTTTCCAAAATATCGTGTCCTCAGCAACCTTGTTCAGCTCCTGCAGACTCAAGTTTCTGGTTCCTTTAGGACAGTGGTCCCCAACCTTGGGCCTCCAGATGTTCTTGGACTTCAACTTCCAGAAATCATGGCCAGCAGAGGTGGTGGTGAAGGCTTCTGGGAGCTGGGAGTTGTAGTTGAAGAACATCTGGAGGCCCAAGGTTGGGGACCACTGCTTTAGGGAGTCAGTCCATTTGATAATTGGCCATCCTTTTTTTCCTGCTACCTTCCACCCTTCCCACCCTTCCTGCCTTTTCCAGAGAATCCTGCCTTCTCAGTGCTCAAAGTAGGACAACCTCATCTTCAGCTGTTTTGTCTTGTAATATATAATAATAATTGCATGCCATCAAGTTCTGACTTATGGTGACCCTTTACAGAGTTTTCCAGGTAGACTACACAGAAGTACAGTGGTGCCTCATAAGACAATGTTAATATTTTCCGCAAAAATCACTGTCTTGCGAAAACATTATCTTGCAAAATGCGGTTCCCCATTGGAGTGCATTGGAATCTGTTTAATGCGTTCCAATGGGGGGGGGGAATCGTCATCTTGTGAAAATCGCCCATAGGAAAACCGTTTTGCGAAGTGTGGACCCAGCTGTCAAAATCATTGTCTTGTGAAAAACCGTCCCAGAAAAAAAGTCTTGCGAAGCACGGACCGAAACATCGCCTAGCAAAAATCACCATAGGGGAAACTGTTTTGCAAAGCGCTATAGTGATCGCAAAAACCCATCGTCTTGCTAATTAACTGTTTTGCGAGGTAATCGTCTAGCGAGGCACCACTGTAGTTTATCATTCCCTTCTTCAGGGAATGCCCAAAGCTGTACAGGCTGGCTCTACTCGGAAGAGACGTAGCGGGAAACCAAACTCCCAACCTCTGGCTATGCAGCCAGATACCAAAGCCAGTTGTTAACCTTCAAGTGAGCTATCCAACCAGCTTGTCTTGCTCAAAGTCCAGGGTGAATGATTAACAGCATGACAAAAACTGGTTGCCAAAGAAAACTTTAGTAGGTGCTCCTCATCGAATTATAGAGGGTAAAGTTTTCCATTCCTGCCCTGTTTCAAATATCTTTTCAAACTAGACATGCTAAGCAATTTCCCTCTCCACCAGCTCTGTCAAAGGGAAAAAAACAAAACAAAAAGAACACAATTCTTGATGTGTCAAAAGGACAGTGACTTAAGGGTCCCTTCTGCTTTTGAAGCACAAAGCCTCGAGGCTGAGCAGTTTAATGACTCCCTTGACCCAAGAAGCACTTGGCTTCAGCTTGCTTATCTAAACTTTTAAGTGTCAGAGAAGTCACACAGGGCTGCTGCTGTGGGCCATCAAGATTACATTTCTGCCCTTTGCTGACGGGGGTGGGGGAAGAAAGAGGGAGAGAACTCACAGAACACTTTTCATTTACACTTCCAAAGTATAGTATAAAACAAAAGGAAAAACTCCAAACCCTAAATGCATAGAAATAGAGGCAAGGACTTAATTAAAATTGAATGTAGGGGTGAGTGGGCTACAGCTAGCACCTGCTTTCCACTATTTACATTCAAGCAAGTGCATCCTATAACTGTATAAATGGGTGGTTGGGCTATCCCTTTTAAGTAGCCAGGTACTGAAGGCTAGGACCTCTTGCCCACCCGCCTTGCTTCCTATGCTGATGCAGTTGTGACACAGATACAGTGGTGCCTCCTTGACGATGATAATCCGCTCCGTTCAAATCGCTGTTAAGCGAAATCGTCAAGCGAAATTAAACCCATTAGAATGCATTAGAAACCAGTTAATGCATTCTAATGGGTGAAATACCTCATCGTCCAGCGAAGATCCTGCATAGGACGGCCATTTCTTGGTGCCTGAAAACAGCGAGGAAATTGCTTAGCTTGGTGCCTGAAAACAGCGAGGAGCTGTTTTAAAATCATCGTTAAGCGAACAGTTACCGAAGAAGGGAACTGATTGTCGTCAAACGAAAAAAGCCCATAGGAACATCATTGTGCAGTCGCAATAGCGATTGTAAAAAAACCATCGTAAAGCGGGTTCGTCGTTTAACGTACAGTGGTGCCTCGCATAGCGAGGTAATTGTTAAGTCGGGCACCACTACCCTTTTTTTCAGGGTGACACAAATATGGTTCTGCCTTAAAATGAGGGAGCCTTAAATGGGAGTGGGCAACTTTGATGAGCTGCAGGTGGACAGGGGTGGAACTATGTATATTTATATTGGTTTTTAAAATTGGGCAACCACTTTGGTTCTGATCCGGGGGTAGGTGGTCACCCCCAACACATTGACATAATCAATGGCAGCAGTCAAGATAATCTACAGGATACCTTCCTGTGGTCACTACCATTCATAGTTGCTGAGAAACAGCCCTGCCAATGGCTCTGTGTCTGGGTTAGAAGTGGTTAACTGATGAAAAAAGGAGTCAGCTGCTGGGATTTTTCCCTTGGATGGTGTCTCTTCATGGATGGCAGTGCGAAAGTTGCTGGTGTCTGCATGAGAGAGTAAAACAGCTTTAATTTTTAAAAAATGGTAAGTCAAAAGCCATTTGCCCAAATGCCTGCAAATTAGGCACAGAGCAAGAGCAGATGGTCTGCTACACCTGTACCACATTTGGTCCAGGACCAAACTTACATATATTTTTTTTGTTTGGGGCACCTCTGTTCTTTTGTCTTATGGAATGCTGATTTTCTCTTGCTGCCTGTCCCTGCAGCAATAATGCCACACAAACACTATCTCCCTCAACTGAAGAGCTACAAATAAGAGCAGAGGAAGTAGATTCTTCCCCTGTATAATACTGTAATCATGTTCTGATTTTTTAAAATGTCTCAGGAGATGATGAAGACAGATGAGAAAAATCCCGAATCCGATTTTTGTACTGGCAAAAAGATAATGATGCACTGTAGGTGCTGCTAATGTAATACCTTCCTTGACTTTACACACATCATCTTCAAGCGAGCTTCTGCTCTGCCTTGATAGAGCCATAGCTACCTCTAGCAGGAGGTTCCTGCTGGGCAGGGATAAGAAAACGCCAAACCCAGCGCTGCAATTTCCCTTCCTTAAGGGCATTTCAGATGCACAACAATCAACATATCAGGTGTCCCGTGTAATCAGATAGGTATTTTTAATCAATCATCCACCTGTACTTGACAGGTGAGCAGTCTTGCTTGCAAACAGGGAGAACGGAGTTGAGACAGAAAATAAAAAGTCTCACCCAGCAACGCTTGTATATTCTTACAGTACAGGCCCTTCTCCCCACTAGCAAAGGAAAGAGCCCAGGATTGAGTCCTACCACAGGAGGCGAAGATGGCTGTTTGCTGAAGAGAGCTGCTTGAATGCTCTGGGCACATGGTATTATACTTTACTGGGGATTCTTCTCTCAAGGACAGAACTGGCTTTGATCCTCCAGGCATAATTTCCCAGCAGCAGATTCTGCTGAGTAGACAAGGTGGAAGAGATCATTCATGCTTATGGAGGTAGGAAAGGCAAATGTTAGTTGTTAATCTGATGGTAAGTGTATGCAAGAGGAATTGAAAACAAGCCAAAACAAGGGGGTGAGAGACAAAAACGGCATTTCCGGAGAGACTAGTGTCCTTCAGGTTGCCATATTTTTCAGCCCAGGAATCGCCACCGTTTACAAACAGTGAAGGCAGCCACCTAAGATTCCCAGTCATCTTCATCCTCTTCACCAGCTGGCTGCTGCGGGGGTGGCAGGGGTGGAATAGTGTCTGATATGCGGCCAAAGGCACCGCCTGGCACATTGGGAGCGTTGCTGTCCCCTCCAGCTGCAGGCCCTTTGCCAGAGATGCCTGTGGGAGACAAAAAGCAAGCATGTTAACATTAAGCAAGTGGCCTCGAGGATTCTTCCAGTTTGCCAGACTGGCATGGCTGAAATCTAGGTGATGAAGAGGGGAAAGGCGCTGGATCAAGAGTTCCACTCTGCTAGCCCAGCAAGCAGAAATTGAGGCCAGAAGTACATTCTAAGGAAAATGAGGGACATTGTAGGCTTGAGACAATCTATAGGGGAAAAGGCAGAGAACCTTCTGAATTCAGAAACACTGGAAATCCAGTAGGGTGCTGAGCCCTTGCAAAACTGGTATGATCCAGCAAACAGCCCAAGGGAAATACTATTGAGTACAGTTCTATATGAAGGCAGGGGAAGATTTATGGAAATGAAACTGTTATTGGTGTCAGTGGAAGGTAGAGTCACTAGGCTAGGTCCAAACCCCAGAGCGGAGAACTAGAGTAGGCCCATTTGAATCAATGGAAATTATGGAGGAAGTGACTCATCGAATCGTTGCCATATTGTACGATCTTGTGAAAGCCAACCGCCTGGGCTCACTTCCATGAGCAGGCATGAAATGGCTGAAGCTTCAGAATGTTCCAGGACTGTCTTTCTCTCTGGCAAAGTACAGGAGGGAAGGGGAAGCAGCCACCAAATCGTGGTTTGAGTGTTTCCACGGAGTTCTCAGTTTCTGACTAACTGGTTTGGAAAACTTGAACATACTTATTAACTTTGTGGCCAATATCACTAAGAAAGTCCTATCAGACTGCCAGAAAAGGAAGGGGCAGCAGCCAATGGACACCAGTGGCAGACTCTGGGCTGCATTTTGGTTAAGAATGTTAATATTTAGATAGTTCAGTTATTTCTTTTCATGTACCATTATTCAGTCTAGAGAGTCTGCAATAAGCACAGTGGTGGCAGTAACTCCACTAATTGGCGTAAGCGTCACATGCTGACTGAGAGCAGTATATAGACGGGATTCCCCGTAACAGCTTGGTACCCCTACTGCATTTCTCTTTCCACGCTTCAGATTAAGAGCACCTTGAACAGTAAAATTCATGTTGGAGAAATGGTTTAACAGCAGCTGCTGTCCTGATCCTATATATTGTGTCCCTCTTTTTCCCTTCCTCTCTTCCACCCAGTCTGCTTCCCATGTACAGTCTGCTTCCCATGTACCAAAGGACTGGAGAAAGGACAATTCTGTACTGCATTTCTCTTTCCACGCTTCAGATTAAGAGCACCTTGAACAGTAAAATTCATGTTGGAGAAATGGTTTAACAGCAGCTGCTGTCCTGATCCTATATATTGTGTCCCTCTTTTTCCCTTCCTCTCTTCCACCCAGTCTGCTTCCCATGTACAGTCTGCTTCCCATGTACCAAAGGACTGGAGAAAGGACAATTCTGTATATATTACTACTGCTACAATATTGCTACAATATAATTTCTTTACTGCTCTCAATACCATTGTCATTACAGTGGTGCCTCGCATAACGAGCGCACCATTGAACAATGAATCCGCATTGTGATGCGGATTTCCCCATCGCTAATGCGAGGGCATGCTCGCATTACGATGGGGGAACAGGTCTTCGGCGGTTCCAAAATGGCCGCCGGACACCCAAAATGGCCGCCGGAACACCAAAAATGGCCACCGGGACATCCAAAATGGCCACCGGGACACCCAAAAGGGGCGTCGGAACATGGGAAAACATCGGAGAACGGGGAGTTTTGGGCCCATTTGGGTTTCCCCATTCCGCTTAACGATGTTTTCCCATAGCGAAGGTTAATCCGGAATGGATTAACCTTACTATGCGGGGCACCACTGTATTTATAAACCTTTCTCTTATCCTGCCTGCAACTTTTCCCAGAGAAAATGTCATATTTTAAGTTCTCCCAGATATTTTAATAGAAAATGGGTTAATACAGAAGCAAGTGGCTGGCCCATAGCGCTACTCCTGCAGCTCACGTTATGTTTCAGAGACAACAAGGATAATCAGGGGGCTAGAAACCAAGCCGTATGAGACCCCTGACATAGAGGTTTCTTCAAGATAGAAAAAAAGGCTCTGGCATGGCAGTCACAAGTCTATAAATGAGCAACAGCTCGGTTGTGAGGACAGAGCTCTCCTGTTAACAGGTTTGCCCACCCCACTCTCAGGCTTTTGCTTTGCTGGACCCTGGGAGAGAAACAGCTTGCCACCCTCTAAACGTACCTTTGCGCCGGAGGACCAGTTTGTTGAAGAGATCCGACATCAGGTCTCCACCCTGCCCTGTGGCTCCCACTAGAGAAAAACAATAAACCACGAACACATCATCAGAAAAGATAAATGCATAGAGAATCAGGAGCAGGCTGGTAAATAAATAATATCACCCCAGCTTCATTTAAAAAAAAAAAAGAGAGAGATGCTTTGTAAAAGGACACAGGCAAAATCCTGCTGCTTAGTGTAGCAAATCACACTAGATTAAGCTATTGACTCAAGAAAGATTCAATGAGTCACTTCCTCCATAACTTCCATTGATTCAAATGGGCCTACTCTAGTTCTCACCTATCTTAAATTGCAGCTAGAGTAGGCTCATTTGAATCAACAGAATTCACAGAGGAGGTGACTCGCTAAATCCCCATTGATTCAGTAGGTCTACTCTAATGCAATTCAGTACACCAAGCAACAGGATTTTGGCCGTTAATTAGTAGAAATACATTTAGATACAAAGGACATGGTTGCTTGTGTGGTACAAATGCCACAGATTTTTGGTTTATTATTTTAGGAAGGCAGAAGAAACAGCAAGATTTAAACTCTTAGCTAGGAAGGAGTATGTAAAAGTGTGTGGCCCAGGGCTGCACAGATTTCAGAAGCCAGAAGGGTGACTCAATAGATTTCCACTGTTTGTGGATGCGATTTCAACATGCTGCAGGCAGCTTGCAGTTCACAGTGATTATCAGCACTCAAGTTACCCAAAACTGCAATGCCCCAACTCCACAAATGATAGTAAAATAAAATTACAAAGAGAATAACTGATGGAGATTTTCCATATATTATGGTCAGATTACAGAGATGACAGAATCCCACTTTCTGTGGTACAGAATTTAATTCCTGTTCAATGCTGGGAATGCAAGGTAAGTACCACTCTTTTATGGACAGGGAGTAGTGATGCAATACTGGCCTAAAGTAACTGCCCATGTGAACCAGAGTCTTGACCAGACAAAGAATCAAGCACACCAAAGCCCTGTTCAGTTTATGCCACGTGGAGCCTGCAAACATGTTGAGGAGAATGCATGCAAGCAATCACAGAAACATGGTGGTCTGAAGAGGAGGAGGAGGCTGTTTCTAGGCAGACTCCATATGATCCAATACCAGCCCCTCTAATTGGGGTTCTAGGTCAGGAAAGGCAACCTAGCTAAATCAGCCTCCTGGTTTTCAGGCTGTTGTATTTCTATGATTAAAAAGATGGCAGACGGGGTAAGGTTAGCATGCCCCCTTTCATGCATGCTGGCTCCCCATGCTTTGAACCACAGCTGGATAGAGCTTAAAATCTGGAATTCCCTTGACAGTCTTTATTCCTAACAACCTGGCTGCAATATCAGCTGTGATGTGCCATCAAGATGCTTCCAGGTTAGTTTTCAAGGTATGTGGGATATTCAAGGAGTGGTTTACCACTACCAACCCACTGTGAGTTTCCATGGCCGAGTGGGGATTTGATCCTAGTGTGACACTTTATTCATTAAAACATAGCAGCTCTCTGTAATATCTGCACAGGTGTAAATGTCTGGAAGGGGGCTTGGTGGAAAGACTAACGCCAAGGGGCTGTGCATTAACAGCTATCTTGTCTCCACTCCTATCCCCTGAGCCTAACAAAACCTGCAGCCTTGAAGAGCTCACAGGAAGGATGTTTAGTACAGCTACAAAGATTGTCGTATTCAAAGGGTAATTTATCTGGGGCTTGAGGAAGGTAGGCAGCTTTTACATCCCCAGAAGCAGGAGAGATGCCTCAATTATCCCTAGAAGATCTCTAATGTGCACAGAAGCAGAAGTCTAAAGAAGCAAAATGTATATAATTGGAACATGAAACATAAAGAATAAAAATCAATGTTGCTCAAAATTATAAAACAGGAAATTTAACATTTAAACATTGCAGAACTTGGTACAAGCAAACTAATGTGAGTTGGAACAGAACATTTAAAACCAGATAATTACAAACTATGTTACTCTGAAAAAAACTCAAAAGAAACCGCTTGGCTTTAGTTGTGAGGTAAAACATACCACAAGCAGTTAAGCATTGTGTTGTAAAGTCAGACCAAATAATATCAAGCACACTGCATGAAATGCCAAATAATATATCTATGATTCAAGTTTAAGCTTCAATTACGAATGGTGATGAAAAAGAAATAGAAAGCTTTAATGAAATTATCCAGGAGGCACATGATCATATACTGAAACGGGGCATGCAGATAATCTTGAGTGACTTATGCACAAAAACAGAAAATAAAACCGAACTGAACACTATTGGACAATTTGGCCCAGGAATTACAAATGAAGGAGACAAACTCATAGAATTCTTTGAAGCCAACAATTTGTTAATTGCAAATATATGCTCCAGGCGGCCACACAGATGACTATACATGTGGATGTCACCAGATGGCCAATATAAAAATGAAACAGACTATGTAATTGGAAGCAGGACATTATGAAGTGAGGTTTTTTCAGCAAAAGCAAATTCAGAAGCGGATTATGATATAAACTATGAACATTAAGTATCAAAATTTATAGCAAAGGTGAAGAAATAATAGAAGAATCACAGGACCAAATAACAATTTAAATAACATTTCAGAAGAATTTCAAAATAATGTAAAGAACAGCTTTGCACAATAAAAATCAACTGTAAACCAGAGGAATGTGGATTGAAACCAAAGTTCCTATCAGGGAAGAATGCAAAAAAAACAAAAACAAGGATTTTTATGGTATATTGAGCAAGAAATGCCAGATGTTTAAACTCAATTCAGAAAAGGAAAGGGCACTAGAGATCATACTGAAAACATACATTAGCTATTAGAACATCCCACAGAATTTTAGTTAAAAATCATTCTATGCTTTATAGATTACAGCAAAGCTTTTGACTGTGTGGATGATAAAAAGCTAAAAGAAATGAATGTGCGACACCAACTGTCTTAAGGCATAACCTAGACTCTCAGTAAGAATCTATGAGTATTTATCATTTATCTATTTAAAATATTTTTACCCTGCCTTCCTCCTTGAAAGGATCCAAGAACATGGAGAAACAAAATGGTTTCTCATAGACAAAGATGTCAGATAAATGTGTATTTTATCTCTGTATCTTTTCAATCTAAGCATAGAAGATATAGTACAGAAAACTAGATCAGGCAATGGAGTTGAACAATGAAAAAAGCTGAGAGAAAAGGAAAAATTATTCACTTTTAGTGTAGTCGACAGGAACTTTACAAACAACAGAAAGACAGACAGACGGGGTCTGTATCAAATCAAGCCTAAACTCTCATTACAAGCTAAAATGACTAAATTGGGGCTATCTTACCTTGGACATATCACAAGAAGACAGGCTCAGTGTAATAGATAATAATGCCAGGAAAAACTGAAGACAATAAAAGAAGAGGTGGACTGAATATGTGATGAACTGACTCAATAAAGGAAGCCTCTACTCTGCAGGACCTGAGTAAGGTTATTAATGATAGGAGTTTCTGAAGATAATTAATTCATAGGGGCACTGTAAGTCCGAAATGCCTTCATGGCATATAAAATAAAAAATGAAACCTGCAAGGGGGGCGACAAGGGAGAGAGAGAGGAGATGCGAGTGGGAACTGGAAGGAAACCTGTCATAGTTGAGAGGTATAGCTGCCAAAACCAAACCAAACCAAACCAAGAAACAGGTATATAGACTAATTGTACATCAACCCAGGTCGCTTGTGTAGAATGGAGAGCTATATGTCGTTGTATGGTGTCTAGACTGCAATCTTGGTTTGTCCTATTTCTGTCCTTGGCTTTATTTTCTCTCTCCTGTCTATTTTTAAGATGCTGCCTTTGGTCAGTTTCTTTGCAGTGTTTGATATAAAGTTGTATGTGCTCACTGATATAATGGATTTAATGAAAACTAGGTTATTTTATTTTATTCATTTGTTTAATACTATAAACCACCTTGGGTTCTTTTAAAATAAATATAATATTTAAAAAAATACTTCCACTGTTTTTAGCATTCTTTTGGATTGTTATAGTTGTTGCTATTTATTTGATACACTGTCAGCTGCTTTCATTAGAATACTCTAGCAGTATTACAAATAAATATACGATGAAACCTTCCATACTGATGATGGGTACCACTTGGTTTTAGCTTCCATATTCATAATTGTGGCTTCTGTCCCTGAGAGATGTCAATGACTAAGTCTGAGCATTTTTCAGAAACAGACTAGCCCTGCTATTTGGGATGCTTTAAAGCAAAGTTTTGAACTGTAGTTATTTACGACAACCTTTTGTTGCATCTGCTGTCAGTTGATGTTTTTATATGGTATTTTAAGGGAAAAACTAAATTGCAACCTGTCAGGAGATTGGAAAATGGACAATGGTTTCAGGGTCTTTGAAACTTGGACCTGTTAGCTTGTGCTGGGTAAGAGGAAGCCAGAAGAAAAGGGGAGAAACTGCCTGATAATTGGGAGGTTTGTGGTAGCTGTGTCCTATCAATGTGAGATAAGGAATTTTCAAGGTCATAAAACACACTCTCCTGGTAACAGGCTCATCCATTAGTGAAGAACTGGTTTCAACTGAGAAAAAGGGAGAGGGAAGGAGTAAAGTTACTTCAACAAAAGTTATTCCATTCCAGAAGCTTCGGGGTGGTATGGAACCTGATTGACAGAAGGCGCTTAAAAGGCTGGAAGGCCCTAGTCTAGCCTAGTTTATTTGAAGAAAAGGCTGTGCTCACATGCTGTCTTGCTACTCTGTAGATGCTCTGCAAGTACGCTGAAGTTTTGTTTTTATGTAAGTAGTCCAGGACACTTAGCTTTCTTATTTTGTGTGGAAACTCTTCTGGAATTGCCTTAACCTCAAACCTTGTTGCTTCACAAACTTTTTGACCTCAAACTTATTTGCTTCACAAACTGTTTGACTGCATTTGAATTTTGGAGCTAGTTTTCGAAACTGCTTGCAACTTTATTTCCTCTTGACTTTTTGTAACATTTTCAATAAAACAGTAAGAATCATGCAGCAGTTTGGTTACTCTGAGAAGAAGAGGGTTTGCTGGTACTCAAGAGGGGCTCTATCTTGTGCCCCAACTGGGTCCTGTATATTATGTGAGTGTTTGGAATACCGAACAGGATACAGAGCCAATCTGAAGGAACCTCTTCATGTGTGAATATTATGAAGGGCAGGGCCTTTGGAGGTCCATGGAATGGAGGGAAGATTTACACAGAGACATGCAGCTCTGTGCCAACTAGCGAGAGCAAGCAAGCTTCTCTTCCACCACCATGGACATATGTTCCAAGAGAAAAGTTGGTCTTGCTTTTCAGTCTAAGAGTTCCCCCATGGCCATACTCACTTTTCTTACCAGAGCAGAGATCTTTCTAATGAAAGGCACTAATGCTGAAATGGGTCACCTGTGGCCCGGCAACTCCTATCATCCTTGATCACAAGGGTTGGTGAGGGAGTTCAAATTCAAGAGCAGCTGTAAGGCTATAGGTTTTCTATCTCTGTACTCACACATACTTCCATGCACAGATGATGTGCTCTCTCTTTAAAAATCTAGAGTCCAGTTAAAGATACAGACCATCAACAGCTATGGCACAAGTTATCAGCTGCATATAATGTACTGGGGGAGAGCCTTAAAGATTTTTGTGTTTGATCCTATCCAACTTACCCAACAACACATTTATATAGGTGTAAGCCCTAGAGACAGATCCTGAAGCTGAGGCTCCAATACTTTGGCCTCTTTCATGAGAAGACTCCCTGGAGAAGACCCTGATGTTGGGAAAGTGCAAAGGCAAGAGGAGAAGGGAACGACAGAGAACGAGATGGTTGGATAGTGTCGCTAAAGATACCACCATGAATTTGATCCAACTCCAGGAGGCCGTGGAAGACAGGAGGGCGTGGCGTGCTCTGGTCACAAAGAGTCAGACACGACTTAACGGCTAAACCACAACAAACCCTAAAGATAGGAAACCTGAAAGAACAAACAGCACCTTGTTCTTGCTCCTTCTGACCCTAAAAATAGGAAACCTGAAAGGACAAACAGCACCTTGTTCTTGCTCCTTCTGCTTTTTCTTTTCCATCTTCCTCTCTTTGACACTACGGAGCTTGGCCTTCCCGATGCCACCAGCTTGCCGGATCGACTCAAGCAGAGTGGCCCGGCCACTTGATGGGTTCACTACTTCTTTTGGTGCCCCCTGAAGTGCAGCTGCATTGAGAGAAAAGAAAGAAAGAGAAAGATGGGGGTCTAACAAATATTTAGCAATGTTACCTGCCAATAATCTTATGCTTATATCAACGTTGGGTGTACAGGATTCCCATCTAAGTGCTGCTGTTTTATATCAAAGGTCAGTAAGCTATATCTTTCAAGCCATTGTTTGGCTTCCATGAGGATAGCAAGCATTTGCTATATTTGGCTTTCCACATTTTATTTTATGCTGTTCCTAGCATAACATGGACAATGGCCACAAAAGATAGCTTTATTAGTGGAATTAGGCAAGATAGCTAAATGAAACCTGCCTGTTAGAAGCTTTATGTACTTCTACCAAATGGTGGGTGCCAACATACCCTTGCTTGCAGGTTTCCTGGGGGACACTTGGCTGACCTCTTCGAATTGGAAGCTGATCTAGATAGACTCTAACATGTTTCAGAGAGGGTACATTGATGTTCCTGAGCTTTCCATGCGCACTTCAAGAAAGGCAGGTCTTTTAATGGCAGGTCTTTTAATAGCAAAGACAAACTGCCTGAGCTAGGTACTGCAAATTGCGGTTGTCTGGTGTCTTAACAGAAATGGAGCTGTGAATACAGTGGTGCCTCAACTTACGAACATCTTGACTTGGGACCAATTTGAGTTACGACCAGCTCCGGTCACAAATTTTTGCTTTGACTTGCAACCGGCACTTTGAGATACAAACGGAAAAACGGCTGGGAATTTGAACTGCTTTCCCTCCTTTTGTCCTTCAGTTAACCATTGGTCAGTGAAGAGGCTGCTTTTCTCCATTGTTCCCTCCCTCCTTTCCTGCTTTTTTTTTAACCTTAGAGGTTAATCTTAGGTTAAAAAATCTCCCCCTAGTGGATGGATTGACCATTTTTGCATATTAGTTCCTATGGGAACTACTGCTTTGAGATAAAACCAGCACCTTGAGACATGAACCAAGAAACAGCTGGAACAGATTAATTGTGTTTCAATGTATTCCTATGGGAAATGGTGCTTTGAGTTACGACCATCATCCCCAAATGAATTAAGTTCGCAACTCAAGGCACCTGCCTTCTGCTATGACTCTACAAGACGATCTTAGGCAAAATGTTCTCTCTCTAAGCTGCAGTCTCCATCCTCTGCAATGCAGGGCATATTAATATGAACTTACCTTACAGAGTTCTAGTGAAAAAATATCAAGTATGGAAAAAAAATGAAGCATGAAAACCACTCTGAATACTCAAAACTGCTATATAAATGATTATTTTTAAATCCTCCACAGATTATGGAATAAGCACCTCTTTGGCTGTTCTAATTTCCCTGCTGTGGTGCTTTCAGCTTTACCTGATGGCAGGGCATTGTTTGTCTCTTCACCTCC